TTAGCGATACCTCTCGTGCTTAGCGCCTTGCGGATTGCAGGCGCCATGTCAAGCGGTGGTCGCGACGGCCATTCAGTAGTTTCCACATCATACATGAAGTTTTGACTCGATGGAAGGGCATGGGACGCTTGCGACCTGCTTCTCCAAAGGACAATGGATGCTGCGAGGTCAACTTCGCCTCCAACATCATGCCATCCGATGGGAATTGCGCAACCATGCCAGCCCCATGGAACCTGGCAAGTAAAGCTGCTACGGTCGCACTTGGATGCCCCGGACATTGTGCGTATAGCAAGGCGTTTTCCATGACGATATGTCAAAGCGCTAGGTCGAGTTTCGCTTGTCCGCAGCGATAGTGCGAATGAGGGCAGGTGATGCCGCAGTACGACTCTGCCTTGGCACAAATTCCATCACAGCAATGGGTTTCCCACGACGAGAAGGGCACACGATCGCCCAGCGTCCCCGTGCGGTCGGACGATTTGGCAACATGCTATCCACGACCGTAGGCCATCTCAACCTGCACAACAGCGACCGATCCTAGCACTGTCGACCGTACTTGGTCAGGAAACCGCACAGCTCAGCGCCTCGAGCGTCATGCTCCACCCCAGTCCTAGCTCCATCAACTGCACGAAGCGCAGACTTCTCGGGCGCACGCAGGAACCTTGCGCACGCCTGCCCACTTGACGTTGGGCGTCGTAATCACATTCGAAGAATTGCACACACTGTGCCTGGGTAGGCGCGGCGGACGAGCTCAACAGGATCCGTCGTGCATTCGAGTTTTTGCAAGCCGTGCGACATCGTCGCCATACGACTCGACAGTTCGGACGAGGGAAGACAACTATTCTATTTGTTAAATGGATTTTTGAATCGCACACGAGGCATTTACATCATGCCACCCATGCCGCCCATACCGCCCATGCCGGGCATGCCACCAGCGGCAGGGGCGTTTTCTTCCGGCAAGTCGGCAATCAAAGCTTCTGCCGTCATCATCAACGACGCCACACTCGACGCGTCCACGAGGCCAGTGCGCACCACCTTGGTGGGGTCGATAATCCCGGCTTCAACCATGTCGACGTACTGGCCCGTTTGCGCGTTGAAACCAAACGTGGGAGAATCCTGTTCGAGCAACTTGCCCACAATCACCGCGCCTTCTTCACCGGCGTTCTTGGCGATTTGGGTCACAGTCGATCGGCACGCACGTTCAATGATTTGGATGCCCACCTTTTGGTCCATGTTGGCCACGCCGTCGTACAATGACTTGAGGTTGCGCGATGCCCACAACAAAGCGGTACCACCGCCGGGCACAATCCCTTCTTCAACGGCGGCGCGGGTGGCGTTAAGCGCATCCACGACGCGGTCCTTCTTCTCGCCCACTTCGACTTCGCTTGCACCACCAACCTTGATGACGGCAATACCGCCGCCCAACTTGGCCAGGCGTTCCTGGAGCTTTTCCTTTTCGTAGTCAGACGTGGATTGCGCAATCGAGTCCTTGAGCAATTCCACACGTTCAGCAATTGCGTCCTTGGCGCCTTCGCCGTCCAAGATCAAAGTATCGTCCTTGGTGATCGTCACCTTCTTGGCCGTGCCGAGAATGTCGGGGGTCGCGTTGTCCAGGCGAAGGCCAACGTCTTCGCTAATGACCTTGGCACCGGTCAAGACGGCCATGTCTTGCAAACCAGCTTTGCGGTTGTCACCGAAACCAGGGGCCTTGACGGCGCACACCTTGATGCCGGCACGGATGCGGTTGAGAATCAAAGCCGCCAACGCTTCCGACTCGACATCTTCCGCGATAATGAGCAACGGGCGTTGCGCCTTGTACACAAATTCCAACATAGGGGCAATGCCTTGGGCCGACGACACCTTCTTTTCGACCAAGAGGATGTACGGGTTTTCCAATTCGCAAGCTTGGTTCTTGCTGTTGGTGACGAAATAGGGAGAGATGTAGCCACGGTCAAACTTCATGCCTTCAACGACTTCCAATTCGTTGTACAACGTCTTGCCATCTTGGACAGTGATCACACCTTCGCGGCCGACACGTTCCATGGCGTCCGAGATCAAGTCGCCAATTTCCTTTTCGCTGTTGGCAGAAATCGTGGCAACTTGAGCCACCTTTTCCTTGTCGTCAATATCTTGCGACAACTTGGCCAATTCCGACACAACATGGTCGACAGCCAATTGGATACCGCGGCGCAAGTCTTGAGGGTTCATGCCGGCCGCGACACTCTTGCAACCTTCACTGTAGATGGCGCGGGTGAGCACGGTGGCGGACGTGGTACCGTCACCCGCGGCGTCGTTCGTGTTGTTGGCGACTTGGCGCAACAATTGAGCCCCCATGTTTTCAAACTTGTCACGGAATTCAATGTTCTTGGCCACGGTCACACCATCTTTGGTGATCTTTGGGGCGCCGTATGCTTGGTCAATCACGACGTTGCGACCCTTGGGACCCAACGTGACCTGGACGGCGTCAGCGAGCTGATCAGCGCCCTTCAACATGAGGGCACGGCCTTCAACACCGAAGCGGATGTCCTTGCCGGAGGCAAAGAATCGCTTGGACATGGTGCGCGCCATCTGCGTTGGAACTTGCTTCGAGAGCATGGTGTTTTTGACGAATGGGAAAATTGCAAACTGCGCTCGTCCCCATGTTGAATCCATGGCCAGCCCTACCCTCAATTAAATGTGACAGGTTTATCCGTGGACGCAAGTGGGGGTATACAAACACCAAGTGACTTTTGTTTGTCGGTCCATTCATTCCAAATGCCAGATGCGGCAGTTGAAGCCTTTCTAGAAAAGTCACCATGGCTCGGTGCTTGGAACCTCGGAGCATCGCTGGTTGTGGACACCTGCAAAAGCGACTTGTACGAGTGTCTACAGCAGTCATGAACTGCACTCATGCCACCGATACAGCGAAGGGAAGGTCCCTCGTTACCGACTATCAAGCAATCGTCAAGGACAGTTCGCACCTTCGGCAGCATTCCACGCAAAGAGAATATAAAGTATTACAGGAATAGGGTTGACTGCCACTCATTCAATTAATTGCGATTGGTCAAAAGATCGTTTGCGAATCTTCGCCATGTCTAGGGAAAAAGGTGGGCGTCGCGACAGGAGGAGATAGACACTGCGACGGCTGCAGGAGTCTGCTACGCAAAGATGGGCGCCCCCAAGGAGGTCAGACGTTGATATGTGCAGGCGGTTCGTTGAAACCCAACCGGTTGCGAACGCAAGCATGCTCTTCTTGCATCGCAGCGACCAGGCTCGTACTCGTACGATGAGCCAACGACATGAGATGTGTGAGGGTGCATGCGTCCCATGATGAGATGATCTTATTGTCCGCAACGATTGTGCGAAGGTTGAATATGGGAAGAGCACGATGAAAGTATTCATATACACGGCATTACATAGTTGTCAGGAGTCGTTCGACCGCGGCATTTTCGTCGCCCTTGGCTTCTGCCAACGCCTTGTGCACTTTATCCTATGCACAAGAGTTCCCAAGATCAAGTTAAGGATTGAGCAATAAGGTAGGGTGTACCTTGGGGAATCCCATGTCCATGAGGCGTTGGACTGCTTCGCAGTCGTTCTCCGACTTTTCCGTGGCATAAGTTTGCGTCCAAAAAGCCGCCGTGCTGTTGAAACGTTCTTTGTCGTGAATGTACATGCGCGCCACTTCCGCGTCCTAACACACACGCAAGTGAAGTTAAGGCGCTGTGTTTCTCGCTATCGTTTGAAAACCTGTGGGTCTGTGGGTTCGGCAGCAGATAACAGCGCTTGGATGGATAAGAGGGTGGTTTTGATCGTTAGGGCAGGGGACCACGCATCTTTCAGGATGTCCTGTGCATGTGTCAAGCAACTGGGAACAAAGGACTCGAGGCACATACGAGACAAATTGCTCCTGTTTGCGACGAAATGTTGGGGTGCCAAATCTTCGTTTCAAATCGAACCTTCGGCGGCTCAAAGGGATATGTCTTTGGGATGTTGATTTCCAGCACAAAATGGCCGCCTTCATACGGCGTACCCACGGGCCCGCGGATGGTACCAACGAGGGCATCCCAAACACCGTCTGAGCGCAGCGACGCCGAGACACCGGACAATTCAACGCCGCGTTGGCATTCTTCCAACTCCTTCCTGATGCGTCCTAGTGCGACGTCACTTGAAGCCTCGGTCCATGCATCTGCAAGTCGCACCTGCCATGCCGCCGCCGTCAGCGTGCGACGAATTCGGTGGAAACTTGATGACTGTATGGTTTTTTCTCCAAGCTGTTCCTGTCTATGCCAACCTTGCGTGCATACTAAGATGATGTTAAAATTTCCTTATAAATACGTCGATTTTTATTAAATCACGCCAATCACCGTCAACAAATTCATATTTCTTGCACATGTCACGGTGGTGGGCGAGTCCAGCGCTCGGCGCATGTACTGGTCAGCGACGACTCCTTGGGATGATTCCTTGTGCCGCGGGGGCACGTAGACGATGAGATTGCGCCACCTTCGCCCCCTCTGCTGGACCTTGTTGCATTGCGCATACAACTCAACCTCCCCCGTTAATTTTGCTGGCCGGGTTTGCAGGTCGGATACCGCACCCGTCCATTCACGTAGGCGACGGGGTGGATGGGCTGGAACATGCGATACGTGGCCCAGTTGGCTTGGATGTTTGTCACGGCCGAGTACGTCGAGTACACACCGAGCACGGCGCTGACAACGATGACGACGTATGAAAAGCCCCTGGTCGCAGCACCCATCCAAGTTCCGTCAGAAGAAAACAAGCACAAGAAACACACGCAAGGCATGATCAAGCACGGCAATGTCACGGTCGTGGCGCCGATCAGTGTCAGGATATCCGCAAAGGATGCCTGCAGCATCACCGCTAAGAAACATTGAACGGTCACGATGCCCGTGCGAAGCAACACGCGGCAGACATGCTCCGTCGCCGTGAACTTCAACGAGTCGTGCAAAACGTCATGAACAAACTTCTATCGGAACAAATAGTTCATCGTGAAGGCCCCACCGGGACATGGCCACCAACCTCTTGCGCTTCCGTCGACTCGACCGATTTGTACTCGGCATTGTGCTTGACTCCCATAAGGTGTGCATCTGCCGACGAGCTGCTGTCTGCCACTCCATTGCCTTCGGCGTTACGGAGGAGCTTTTCTTTGAGCGTGTCAATGTCGCTGTCTTTGCCAAATACGCTGCGCTCGATCACGAACAGCGTCGGGCTCATGATGACGGGGTACGCAACGGCAATGTGAACCAACATGCACGCATTCGCCAGGACCTTCCATGGCCCGTGTGGCATGGATTCCACCAGAGTTGCCGGCGCCATGCATCCGAATTGCGCGTACGTGAGGATGCCGATGAACATGTACAAAACTGTGACGTAGATGAGGGTGGTGCTGACAGTTGTGACCAAGGTGGCACTGCCCATCGCTGAGCATTGCCGGTGTAATGGAGGAATAAGTAGTGCCGATCCAAATGCAAACATGATGCCCCCAAAGGCCGAAAGCGCCGAGGCGACGGACACGTTCGACTCGCGCGAAGCCAGTGGCCGCTCCACGAAGTTGACAGTCAAGGCGATGCCGTCGGTGAACAACGTCGAGACGCTCCCGAGTATGCAAAGAATTACCGTGTCTCGCAATGTAGGAATGCACACAAGGGGCAGCATGCATATTGCAGTCGCGACGATCCACTGGGTGGATGTAAGGTGGACGTTGAAGCCTGCCGTGATGTTGGGAAGTAACTCCGTGCCAGCAAGCACGAGAAATGCTATAGGAGTGGCCAAGCACGAAAGCGACTCCGATACGACGATGGCGTATCTAGCATGTCAAGGCGGTGTCATCCTAGTTTATGGAGGGTAGTAGCTTACCTCCCGACGGAACCGCAGGCGTGGAGTCCCAGGTCACCGAACGTACGAACGTGCGTGGGAGCAATTGTCATGCAACGGCACATCAGGGAACTAGCGAGATGGGGCATGGTGAGCTGTAGATATCGGCAGCTGTGACATCTACCTGGCGTGGACGTTGCATGCCGAAAAGAAGTAGAGGACGATAGAGCCAAGGATCGATCCGGTCGCTGCAAAAATATGCCCCATGCTCAACGAACCCACGCCGAACGTGTACGTGAACAGCATGAGCGCATTGCGGGTATCTTCGTCCACCATCATGTCGCCGCCGCCTCCAATGAGCCCACACAACCTTTCGCAAAACAGTTTCGGAATCCTTCGACTGTCCGGATACAACATTATCCGAAACCTCCACCATGACATTTTCCCAAATGACCGACACAAAGCTCGCCAAGGCGCTGTGGGATGGCCATGTGCCTGTGTGCTTCAACATCGATGCCTCCGAAATCACGACGCTTCAAGTCCCCCGTCCATACTACGTACGTGTGCCTCGGCATGGTGATTGCCCAAGTCTTTACCATCCCTGTGGCGTATGTAGGCCATGGTCCCTCGAGTGAGCTCTGTCATGTGCGCCACCACGGATGCCGTGATCAACCACTTTAAAGACGTCGCGCCGCCAACGCTGTCTAGCCAGCTTTCTCGCTTCGTATGGTTCGAGTTCAAGGGTATGCCTCTGAAATGGTACATATGTTCGTTTGATATCTCCACCTCACATGAGGAAAACATGTCGTTCACAGGCAGTTGCCATTCGGAGTCCTATATGACTTACACGGCGACGGCATGCTACCGTGGGCGATCACAGTGCATTTTCAAGGCTATCCATCGCAGCATGTATGTGGAGAGTTCCTTTTCTTTCCCTGCCTCATGCCGTTCCTGGGCAGTTGCTCCCATGCGACAACCTCCAAGCAGTCGAAATGCACTTTATGAACTGCTACAAGCAAGTACGTCGGCAATTGTCGCTGATCCAACGCTGCCGCAGTTCCATTACAGATAACTATGGCGATCTGCTCACTTGGTTTGTAGTCGATGTTTCTGTTGTTCGGCAGCACCAAGTGGATCATGAACTTGCCCCAACAAAAGCACACACAGCTCTGGAAAAGTCTCGTGAAGAGTATGTCCATCGCGAAATTTTATTTTCATTGTTTGTCGAGCCCGACGATTTCGTAGATGACTTTGCCATGTATCAAGCGGTGCACGGGGCGGTGGTTCCCGCGACCGAGCCGAGGCGGCACATTCCGCTGCGCGTGCTACTCCCGCACGAAGCCACGATTCAACTCCCGCTTCCTTCAAGTACCATCCCCCCGTCCTAGTGTGCTTTCTCAATATCACATGCTCACATGTCTCCTCCTCATAGGCTTGGAGACAATCCGATCTGCGCTAGTGTATCTGTTACCACAAGTGGACATCGACGCTGCGGCCGTTCGCGTGCACGGCATCGACGTCGAACTGGATCTGTCGATCAGCGAACTCTACAGGCACTTTGCCTACCCCGATGGATTTTTGTACATTGCCGTCCTTCCTTAAGTTAATTTGTTTGGCCGCCCTGTGTCGTCTACCCCAAGTTGATGCCTTCATAAGTCGGCACCATGTACTTGATGTTGACATAAGCGTCAGGACCTCCCACGCGCTCCATCTTTTCGAGAGTCGTCCGCACAAGATCCCCGAGATCTATCGCGCCACAGTCACGCATGTGTCGAGTTGAAAGACATGTTTACCCTGGTTGTGGCGTTGGCCAAAGTCAATCGAGTCGCCGATGTTATGCCGACTGTTCTTGAACAGGTTGAGGGTCGGAAGGAGTTGCCTGGGAAATGTGGCGTGAGTGAGACGATTGTGTTGAGACGGGGGCGTTTTGCATGAAGAAGGACCTGTAGTACGGCACCAGGGCAACACCAATGCCTTCGACGTCAAGAAGGATTTGCATGACTTTGAGGGTTTCGCACACAAGCTTTTGATCCCGAGTGTTGAGCGCGACCCGCAGCGGTGCGACAACTTTATGTAGACATGCGTGGACCTTCTCGGGGTGTTGCCGGCCGTATTGCAATAGCTCTATCGAGCCTTTCGTTGCAAGAAAATGATACGGCTCTTGCGACTCCCGCGTGCCTACCGACGCCACCGTCGCAGTCACAATCCCCTGCCATTCAACACATCACCCAAGACGCACCGTCCAAAAGCAATGGCAGCATCACGCTGTAGTCAATTTCCGCCAACGGCTTGGTCCATCGCAGCGCATTGCCCCCCGTTGTGGGTTCGATGCAGATCGGCACAGCCCCTAAACGTCATCGTGAACCAACATGACGAATGCTACAGGAACAACAGACCGCGGGTGTACGAGCTCGGGAAGGTTGAGCTTGGGATCGGTCGCTTCTTGAATGCGCCGGCAACCTTTGACAACCCATCAAGTACTCGTAAAGAGCGCTAGGAGTATACCGGAGGCAGCGACTCACGGGCATACTTGTCCTTATGCTTCTTCAGCACAACTTCGTGCTCGATGTACTTTCGAGTGGGCGATGGAAACTTGAGGTGTACCATGATGTCTTCCCGCTCTTTCTTGAACGATTTTTCATGTATCGACAGGTTGTCGAGGCGAACGTTCGCGAGAGGGTTGCGCTTGTGGTGGCCTTTGCCCCCTCGTACCTTGGTCTTCACCGGTGACTGGATGCCGCTGTACACGACGGCCTGTGGGTCTGCCGCGAGCTTTTTCTTCAGCTTGAGCTCGAGCACCCCCGCTACGCATGACATGACCTACATGATTGTCCTCAAGGATGGATCGGTATACTGCCAGCAATGCCAGGGTGGTTCTTTGTAGACGCGGAGCTGATCACGGACGAAGGCATGCCGGCGGCGACACCAACTCCCCCAACAGGCGAGGCCAAATATAATTCTCGTCATGGTGCATTTCTCAATCTAATTTTAGCATTGACAAAATCCTCGAAGAAATTGGGAGATGAACTCCATCGAGTTGCCCGCAAGGAAGATTGTGTGGCCCGTGACCTCTCGACACGGTTTCCTGTCCTGGGTAAGACAGCAGTGGCATTCATATCGCACCAACTCTGGTGCTGACCTGCATATGACGCATGGTTCGCAGGAAGACCACCACATTTTGCCCCTGTTGGAACCAGTTACATCCTGTAACCGAGCAAACCACATCTTGCATGGGTTAAAGCGTTGTATCGTCGAAATGATCAGGATCGTTATTTCTAAAAACAAGACAAAAAGTGTCAAAAAGTGTCGACTTTTTTCTTATTTTTTCCTTTACACACGAACGCATTATGGTCCTGGATTTCGTGCGGCGTGTTGAAAATTTTTTCTATCGAGACTCTCAAAGCCATCATGAGGAGGTTGTTCGAGCATGTCACCTGCAGTGGTGGTTCCATCGCCGTCTACGTCCAACCATTGTGCATTTGGCTCGTATAGACTTGTGCACATTGTTTCAACGAATGTTCAGTGTGAATTCTGGATCATTCGGTATATTAATACTATTTTGCGGAATACTCCACATAATTCATGCGGCAATTGCTATATTTCGAGCGATGGTGACTGCTTACATGAGTGTGGGCGCTTTCCCTCACGTTTCAAAGTCCTTGCTGGATGTAAGAACAGCCGATAGCGAAGTCGACTGTCGGACATCGCTCCGCCAGGCCACAAAGCATGATGCCAACGACGTCATGAACTCCCAAATGGTTCATCCACGTAATCCGGATACGGTGTGATGTAGTCTTCCGCTAATGTCGACGCCCAATCACATCGGCGACGTGAAATGATTTCACCGCGATACCAACGCTGGGTGGCCATCCTGGCCGTCTGCTGTCTGTTGCTGCTGCTGGGGAACGTCGCAGTGCTCTTCTCAAAGCACGCGGAAGATTTGCACACGCTCGGATGGTTGCGCGGAATGAGGCGTTCGATGCCAGCGCTCTCGAACGACACGCATATGCAAGACGAGGTGGTGGCCGCGATGGCATGGGCGTGGAAGGGCTATCGACAGCATGCGTTCGGTCATGACTCACTCGACGTCGTGCATTCAAACGGCACAGCATTTTCTGACCACGACCTCGCGATTTCCCTTGTGGACTCGTTGGACACGCTCTTCCTCCTCGGTCTCCATGACGACTTCCTCGAGGCTGCGACGTGGGCAGAGGCGAATTTAGCGCACAAGTTTGATGGCCCAGGCAAAGTCAGTCTATTTGAAACGACGATTCGTGTGCTGGGGTATTGTCTCATCTTCTCATTTCCATGCTCACACATGCAGTTGCAGGGGCCTCCTCGCAGCTTATCAACTGTCTGGGCGTTCAGGGCTCCTCGATCTCGCCGACGATTTGGGCGGTCGCTTGCTGCCTGGCATGCGGAGCTCTGTACTGCCGCGTTCGTTTGTAAGTCTGGAGGTACATGCCTTCGCTGCTCCCGAGAACATTCGTTGACCACACTTCAGGATGCAACGGCCAACGGCCCGAGTTTTCTGGCTGAGTTTACCAGTATTCAGCTCGAATTCAAGTACCTGGCCTTGCTCACGGACGATAGCGATTATAGCGACGCTGTCGAGGACGTCATGGACACAGTATAGCATCGTGATGGTCCAGATACTCGAACCCTTGACGGCTGTGCGATAGGTGAGCCAGATCGTCGAGCGGGAGTACGCCGACGGCCTCGTTCCCATCTACGTCGACAATGACCTGGGCCGGTAGCTGCAACTTGCGTTTTGGTCATGATCGTTTGCAAATGTATGCATCTTCATGGTAGAATCCACCGCAGCCGGATCAAGCTGGGGGCAGGCGGCGACAGCTACTATGAATATCTCCTCAAGCAGGTTGGTCATGCAGCAAGTTGCCACGTTCCGTGGTCGCTGCAGCTCACGTTGTCATCCAGTGGCTCTTTACAGGCAAGCGTGAGACCAAGTACCGGGACATGTACAAAACTGCGGTGAACGGAATCATGGAAAAGATGGTCGGACGGACGAAAAAGTCAGGTTGGGTCTTCCTCGGCGAGCTCGAAGTGACGGGAGAGCTCTTGCCCAAAATGGACCACCTCGTGTGCTTCATGCCTGGCATGCTTGCCCTCGGCTACATGCACGGGATGCCGCCGTCGCATTTGGTCTTTGCCAAAGAGCTCGGCCGAACTTGCTTTGAGGTTGATCATGCGATTAACCAACGGAGGGAGCTCAGACGTGCGTAGATGTACAACCAAATGGAGAGCAAGTTGGCGCCCGAGATCGCCTATTTCAACACGGTCGACGTCTCAGATGATATCCAAATACAAGCAATCGACGCTTTCAACATCCTGCGTCCTGAAACAGTCGAAAGTCTCATGGTGTTGTACCGCGTCACCAAGAACGAGACATACCGGGAATGGGGTAAGGTCATCTTCCGCGCGTTTGAACGGCACTGCAAACTGCCGCAAGGCGGGTACACAAGCGTGAACCACGTCGACTCGAGCGCCCCGACCAAGTTCTTTCGTCGGGAGATGGAGAGCTTTTTCATGGCCGAGACGCTCAAGTACTTTTACTTGCTCTTCTCGGACGAGTCGGTCGTTCCCCTCGACAAGTTTGTGCTCAACACCGAGGCGCATCCGTTACCGATCCAACGGCGATGAAATCATGTTTTTCGAGTTTGAAAATTGAATAGACGTCAGACTCAAGGATTAAATATTTTACCAAAATCACAATTGCACAAATTATACCCCGGAGTACATGTCGTCTTTACCGTATTTTCGAAAAGTGAGGATTTTGCAATGTGTTGTTTTCAGCGTGCATTGATTTCAGCCAATCACAAATTCACTCGTCAGAAGGTCGAATAATGAAAAGAAATGCGAAATAGTCGTGAAAAACATACACTGCCGCGATGAGCTCGCGGTATCAATGGGTCCTTGCGGCAGGAGCGGTGTGCTGTTTCCTGAATGTCATGTACCTTGCATCCAAGTACGGCATGCTGGAGGTCCTGATTCCCAAGAACCCAGCCCTCCGCCGAGTCACCAATGCTCCTGATCCCGTCGATGACATGACAACCGCGACGAATCCTGACATCACTACCACCACGCAGCTTGATGTCACCAAGCATTCGATTGGCGCCATCATGAATCCACTCGTGGCGATGCCGACATTGCAGAACGATACTGCCATGCAGCGTCGAGTGGTCGGTGCAATGTCGTGGGCATGGGACGCCTACCGCAAACACGCGTTCGGGTTTGACTCGTTAAACGTCCAGGAGATGGTGAAGGACGGGTTACCTGGTCACGACATGGCCATCTCGCTCGTCGATTCCCTCGATACATTGTACATTATGGGGCTCCGAGAAGAGTTCAACGAAGCCGTGGACTGGGCCGAAGCGAACCTTGCTGCTCGGTACCCGCTCCCGCCCAAAGTCAGCATCTTCGAAACGACCATTCGCAACCTTGGGTGAACGCACACGTCCCATCCACCGGGTCATGTTTGACATTTGTGCTTTAGGGGCTTGCTGTCAGCGTACACGTTGTGCCGCCGACCGTCGCTGCTGTCTCTTGCTGATGATTTGGGCGAACGATTGCACCGTGGCTTAAAGCAGACGGCGCTTCCACTATCGCTCGTCAGCCTCATCGTACGTACATGCTATTCCGCCAACGCATTGACGTGTGGCGGTAGGACGGCTCCACGAGTGATTCGAGTTACGTGGCCGAGTTCACGACGATCCAGTTGGAGTTCAAGTATTTGGCCCACCTGACAGGCAAGACTGAATACCGGGACACGGTCGAAGAATTAATGGATAAAGTAAGGTGAATCTCGACAAAAGTCGATCCATGCTGCTCGTAGGTGGCGGCTATTGTAGCCCAGGACTTTCCATCCGGTGTGTTGCCAGTCATCGTGGATAGCCACAACGGGAAGTACGTCGATCAAATGAAATTCAAGCCATCCTATCGTCGTGGCGCTGTGGCCGACTCATGACGGCGGGGGTGGGTTTGCTGCATAGGATCCATCCCGGCGTGATCAAGCTCGGTGCCGGCGGCGACAGCTACTACGAGTACTTGCTCAAACAGGTATGGCTTTGTCGCTCCTCATGTGGCTTGTTGGGCAATATGACATGATGCTGCTAGTGGCTATTTTCCGATAAACGGGAGACCAAGTACAAGGACCGGTACATGCACGCCGTGAACGGGATCATGACCAAGCTCGTCGGCCGTACGAAAAAATCCAACTGGCTGTTCCTGGGCGAGCTGTCCGAGGGCACTCCGCTGAGACCAAAGATGGATCACCTGGTGTGCTTCATCCCGGGTATGCTCGCGTTGGGCTACGTCAACGGCATGCCCGAGTCGCACTTGACGCTCGCCAAGGAGTTATTGCACACATGCTACCAGGTACTGCCGCGAGCGTGCACGACGGAGTCATGATTGCCGTAGATGTACAACCAAATGGCATCCAAATTGGCTCCAGAGATTGCGTATTTCAACACTGCCACGACAGACGACGACATCCAAGTGCATCCCCAAGACGCGTTCAATATTTTGCGGCCGGAAACAGTCGAAAGCCTCATGATCCTGTATCGCGTGACCAAGGACGAAAGGTATCGACAGTGGGGCGTCCAGATATTTGACGCTTTCGAGCGCAACACGCGGCTCGACACGGGGGGGTTCTCGAGCGTCGGCCACGTCGACCAGGCAACTGCGACCAAATTCTTCCGCCCCACCATGGACAGCTTCTTCATGGCCGAGACGCTCAAGTACTTTTACTTGCTCTTTTCCGACGAGGAAACAATTCCGCTGTACAAGTACGTGTTCAACACGGAGGCACATCCGTTCCCCATCCAGCGCGACCAAACAAAGCAAGCGACCTCTACGTCGACGCCGTAGCCTTTCCTGAACGACCTGGTCGTGCACCCCCTGTGACCACTTATTCACAAACACATTTCCTTCTGCACCACGATTGCAACTTGAAAAAAATACGACAAAGAAGTCGATGAGGGAGATATGTGGGGGCCCTGCATGGCGCCAGCCCCCACAGGGAGATGCAATGCCGTGATCGATTGAAGAGCCTGACGTGTCTTTCGTCGTGGCGGACTGGGGTATCACGGCGCTGTGATGGGATCGCGCGCATGACATGGCGTCGTTTTTCATTTTATGGCACTTCTCTATGTTATCGGCAGAGTCGCTGGCACAATCGAACGAATTCGTTGAATTCGAGCGCACCATTTCCGTTCGTGTCAAAATACGCGACGAGGCGGACGACGTCGGCTTCGTCTGGAATGTCCAGCCCCCATCGACACAGGTGCTTGTGGAACGCCAGTGGCGCGAGCGACCCCCGCGGGGCCATCAAATCAAAGAGTCTCCGTAGCGGCATGCCTTTGTCTTGGAGCACCGATGCCAGCTTGGCTTCAAAAGTTGGGTCAAAACACGAGGGGGCGGAGGTACCCACGGCAAGCGACGACTGGGATATCCTTGCAGTGCTGATTTGGGCCGCGGCCGTCTTGATTGCGTTTGCTCCGTCCCTCTGGGTCCGTGACACGGTTGATCCGTGCCAACTCGAGAAACCTTCCAAGAGCTTGCCGAAATCGACGAGCGATAGCTGGTCCTGTTTTCGGGTGAAGTGTCGGGTCAAGTACATGAGCTCCTTCATGTGCATGTCGACGCCAATGATAGATTTGAAGCCATGGTGCAATTCGCCCAGGGTGAGGAACGAGTACCTACAGATTGTGTTGGCCCATGCACCGGGACTCGACTTGTACAGACACAGCACCTGCCTTGGTCCATCTGCAAAAACAAGTCGCGAACGGACATGCCGCGCTGATACAACTTTGCGCGAATATGCGCCACGAGCTCTTCTGTGCGCCGGTGTTCCAGTAACGCCAAGTCGTCGGTGTCGACGGGAGGTCCGCAGAGCGCCAGCGACGCCAATGCATCGTGGGCTTCGGACCGTGGAGGCTCCGAGTCGGTTGCATGAACGAGATGCAAGAAGTTGGTGTAGTTAATGCGTCCTTGTCCTTGCGGATCGTATTTTTGAAAGAGTCGGGCAAGGACGGAGGGGTCGACATCCAAGTTGAGGACCTACACGCCGCGAGATTGAAAATAGTAGTTCGACGTCGTTGGAGGCATACATCGAGGGCACTTCGAAAGTCCGAGTAGCTCATGTACCCACTGGTTTGCCGATCGAAGCGGAGGAATCGCGTCCGAATGTCACCATAGCGACGAACGAGGATCCGGCCGATATGACGCTCCAAGTGCGCGACGGCATCGTGCGTGGTCTGGCAACGCGAACGAAGTGGTGCAAGCGCTACATCGAGCATCGCCAAGAGCGTACGCGAAGCGTCCGTGTCGAAACCCACGCTCTGCTGCACATCAAACACGAACGAAGTCATCATCTCGACGAACTCTTCCTTGGACATGACGGAGATCGAATATCCGCCGTTTCAGCCAATCAAACCGACTCCCGACATTTTACGAACACTCGACAGCCGAGCGAAGGGACGACTCGACCGCTTCCACATTCGCCATGCGAAGGTCCGACCGCACAGTATCGTTACCTTAACGGCCGTCGCCACGATTCAGCACACTCCTGTGGACATGCATGGAACGCTGGCTCAACGGTCGCAGCATCGAGATTGAGCCAGCTAGGCCGGTGAATGCACCCGCACACGTCGGCGAGAAGTTAGCGTTGTGCACCGATGCCAACGAACTGTTGGATCGACATCCCATGGTCCATTGCGAGGGTGTTCTTGGCCGTGGAAGCCGTGAGTGGCAAAATCATCAGCCACTCGCCTTACTCCGGCATGAACCACAATTCACCCCAATGGCGATAGATTTGTTTGCTTGCACCACCTCATGACGCGAAGTTGACTCTCGATCTCGAGGTCATGTGTCGTGTGTTGAGAAATGCCGTCCTTACGACCAGTGAGACCGAGGAACGCTAAAGAGTTCGAGTTCTTGCGATATGAAAATGGACGACAAAAGCGACAACGTATTGAGATCGATCGCTTCAGCAGGTCTATCCTCGAGAGCTATCTTTCGTGCTGGCAAGAAACAGCTGGACCAAAAGCCAGTGGAGATTCCGTGCGTTGGGTGTGGGCGGCAAGGCCGCGTGATGACGTTTTGCAATGCTCCACTAGCACATGTACGTGCTCATCGAGGAAGCATCCGTGTGCTGGAGCATGGATCCGACCGGAGAGAGCGCACGAACATGCTGCAGCAATGTGCTGGGTTTCCTGGAGCGCAAGTGTCATCCGCCAATGCCATCAAGAAACATGTACTACCATATTGTACTAAGTACTACAGGAATATAACGCATCACGTTTTTACTCATGAGGGGGGGGTCAAAAAAGGAGAGACTTTGTATGGGTTGACTCAACATTATGATTTCTACCCACCCCCCATCCGAGGTGGCGGCGATTGTTGTTGAAGGCCGCTGGCCGACCAAGTGAGCCATTGACAACTTGGACGCAGTCATGGATGGCGCGGCGGTCGGAATGTCGTCCCTGCATCTCCCGGAGATCTCGACGCTCTGCGATGGGACCGCGCAAGTGTACGCAGTCGTGGCACTGGCATGCGTTGTGTCGTGGATCGTGTTTTACCGATACACCGAACAAGCCGGCAAGGTCAAGCTCGTGTTCAACGGCCAGTCAAAGCTCAACCAGTTCATCGCCACGGTACGTTCCATCATCTCCACGTCGATCACGACTTGACGGCGCATGGATCATTGATGTCGCATAGAACTGTGCGACGCTCCAATCGTCGTACCATCCGCCGTGGTGGGCCATGAGCGCCCACGTCCAAGTCTTGTTGACAGTCGTTTGGCCGCAAGCCGCAGTCAAGTATTCGCGCGAGATGCTCCGTATGCAAGATGGCGGTCACGTCGCCATCGACTGGTTGAAAGGGACGGCGACCTTGCCCGACAACGCGCCGGTTGTGTTGGTTCTCCATGGATTGACAGGTCCGACCAATTCGATAGCGCGGATCCAACGACAGATGACGTGGTAGGCTGCAGCGACGGCTATCGTTCGTTTTGCGCCGACGCACTCGAGGCAGGGTACCGCCCTGTGGTCTTTAACAAACGCGGCCACGGCGGGTCGTCCCTGTCGGTACCGCTCCTTCAGGCGTTTGGATGTGTGAAGGACATGAAGGAAGTGATCCATCACATTCAACGGCTGTTCCCGGTGGCGCCCATCGTCGGTACGTCACGATTGCTCGTCACGCTCGGCTTCCCATGCAAGCAGGTGTTGGTTTCTCGGCGGGGTCAGGGCTCCTGTGTTCGTATTTGGGTGAAACAGGCAAAGACTCCAAGCTACAAGCGGGGGTGTTTGTCTCGCCAGGTATGGTGCCGACCATCTCTCAGCGCATGTGAGCCTCTCGTTCTCAACTGTACCATCTTGGTCCTGCCAGGCTACGATTCGGTCGAGTTGTTTTGCAACGGCGGCATCCGTGCGCCGTACGACTCGATACTGACATATACGCTCAAGGTATGCGTGTTTTTTCAAGGATGTACATACGACAACTCATGTGCGGTAGAAACTTCTTCGGCAGCACGAAGACGCGTTGTCGTCGGTCGTGGACTACGCCGCCGCCATGCAAGCGCGGTCCGTGGCCGAGTTTGACCGCCACGTGTACATGGCGTTGCATGGGTACGACGACCTGGCGTCCTATTGGAAGCACAACAACCCAATGCGGGCGGTCGAGAACATTGCGGTCCCCGTGCTTTGCATCAACGCCAAAGACGACCCGGTCTGCACATATGGCCAGATCAACTGGTCCATCTTCGACATCAACCCCAACTCGATGCTCGCAATCACAACGTATGGCAGCCACTGCGGGTTTTTCGAGCTCACGTCGGGACGAAAGCTCAAGTCGTGGGCATCCAAGGCATCGCTGGACTACCTCTCCACGGCCCTCCACTATCTCCATACGTCCATCTCGTCGAGCAAAGTCAAGGAACAGCTCTGAGCCTTATTTCGAAACTATGACATGCAACCGTGCGATCGCATTCACGTCACATTCAGACCGATGGAGCGATTTCATTCCTAAAGCGACGAGTCGATCGTCCCGTTCGAGTAGAACTCGCAAGAGTACATTCGTCGCTCGTGGTCCGTCAGCATCGGGTCGTGGTTGACTTTCAAATGGAGAGGCTGGCGCGGCGCAAAGCATTTGCACCATCGAAACCACGGCCACGCCGCGTTGTCGGTGTCGTCGGCTGGATGCATGTCTGGCCGAGACACAAGGGACGGAGTCGTTTTGTTTCTGGAGGCCCGTCGAACGGGCGAGTTCTCCGGCGCCGTGTCGTGGGGTGCGTCAACATATCTACAACCAGCCTGAAGTCGAACTTTGGACTCGATGGATCGTACTCGACGTAGGGAGTGGCGTCGTCATCGTCGGTCTCGTCGTCAAAGTCATCGTCGCCACCGCTGTTGTAGTGTTCCAACTGCTTGAGGGTCGCCTCCATTTCCGCATCGAGGGCCGCCGCTTCTTCGTTGATTACTCGCGATTTGTTGACTGTGTCCTGCAGCTGCTGGGCCTTTGATCGCTCCCGGGCTTCCGCCGCACGAATATCTCCCCGAAGAGCATTCTCCTGGTCCAACTCGCCTTGGATCGCGCGTACCCACAGCTGCTTCTCCGCCCCTGACCAAGCTCAACACGTCAGCACCATGGGCAACCACTGTGAACGAACCGGTGTGCGCCTCACAGCACAGTTTGTCCTTTCGTCCAGACGTGAGCAGCATGAACGAGTGCTCCGAAACGATCTACGCATTGCATTCGTGTTCAGCGCAATGGCATGCCAACGACCACCTCGTACCCCCTCCGACGTCGACGGTTCGACTCCAACGACTTGTAAAGTGCCGAGCGGGTCGGTGCCGTTCACGGCATCTTCCTGCGAGGCAAAGTAGAGCCACAACGTGCGCAACAGCACGCAATACCTACCACGCACGAGCATGACGTTAACACACACGCCATGGCCAGCACAACACGCACCGCTTGAGCGAGCCCCGGACTGTCCCGCCATGCTTGGTCAAGTACCCTTCCATCGTCGCCCCGGCATAACTAGGCAAGGTCAAATCGCGCGTGACCAGTTGGTCGGCTTTCAGCGACGAGACCGCTGTCTGGAGCGTCTGCATCCATTGCGGCTTGTCCGCAGCGTCGTCCACGTACGCCTCGACGAATCCGTCTTCGATTGTTTCAATTCGAAACATGTTTTTCGCGCCGCCCGCCGACACACCGCCATACCAGTCCCCGACAAAAACAACTTCCCGCTTGCTCGTGGGTTTGCCTGGTGCAGTTGCAAAGTCCTCTCGCGTGTCGTACGTAGCCAGCCACGGGCCCTTGAGCACGCAATAATGTTCCTTCCATGCCGCACCAAAGTGCGACCGACGAAGATGGACGAACCCTTCCAGAAAAATCTCGCTGCTTGGCTGCGACTGCAGCGACGCCTGACGGGTCAAGATATCACGCAACGTCTGCTCCGCGACCGCTTCGTCGCACGCTGTTTTCAGTGCTCGAATCCACCGCTCTTTGTCCGATGCATTCGCGGCCACAAATTGGATCGACCCCGTCACGCCTCGAAAGACAGCGTCCACTTGGAAGCCTAACGAGGACGACGACGTCTTGCGTGGCAACGTGGAGCGCACGACAAGCTGTGCTTACCACATAGAGAGCCGCCCCAATCGGACACGGACAGGACTTTCAAGCTGGTTTCGTCCCCTTCGTTGCCCGGTTCGATGTGCGGACAATTGTTGCTGTCGTCGATGCGGTTTGACGCGTCGGTCTTGGTCGGAAACCACCGCAGCATGTCGTGCACCAGCACATAGTATCGGGTCGGATCCCGTGCCACGTGGAGGAATGCGTCTTGCACTCGCTGCAACATGCCTTCCATGGACGAGTGGGGGACCACAAAGCCCAGTCGCGGATTCGACAACGTGCGGCTGGCACCAACCGTTGCCGCGTGCAGCGCGAGTTCCGCCTACAACCCAACGACGTTTTCCTCCCTCGACGGATGCGGGTCCTTGCAACCAACCTCTTGTTCTTGTAATATCGTGCGACCGCGACTGTCGTTGAGAGCGCTGTGGATGGCAGCCACCCACACGTGCCGATCGTTGGTGTCTGGTGGGGCAAAGTGCCACGTTGACGTAGTCGACGTCGGCGAACTCGCGACTTGGCCTTGAAGGTAAAAATCCTTTTCGTGGCCGCCGGTGGCTTGCGATTCAAACAGCGACTTCACCTGGACGGCCATGATTTGCATCGCCACGTCGCCCGCACGTGCTCTTGTTTCATCCGAGTACCCGATCAAGCGGTCCTGGTGGAGCATGAAATACCTATCCCGCACACCGCGTCACGTCCCTTCACGGATCTCTTCGATGCATACCCCTCTTGCGCATCCGTCCACTTGCCATGGACTTGCGTTCGGTACATCATGTACCCCTGTACGGAAGACGCTTGGAACTCAGCCGCACACGACGACACGTCCTGGAGCTACGAGTGCATTCCGTCAAGCCAAGGCAACGAGAGGCGACCCGCCTACTTCAATCGCTTGGTCTTGCATCAAGTCATCCCCTGCCTTATGCTTGAGAGCGGCGGCCACTTGCCGTTGCCAGTTGTCCTTGATCTCGACCGAGTCGGCGACGCACCGCAGGACGACCGAACTCCACTCGCTTCGACAATCGAGCTGAAAGGACTGGCTCGGAGCCGTTGCCGACGGCCATGCCGCCATGGCCACCACGTCGTAGCACACGGCCGGCTGCAAGGCGTCGGGTGTCTTGAACACTTTGATTTCCAAGTCTTCCAGGACAACATACCGTCGAACGAGCTTTCCGTTTGCTTCGATCGACAGAAAGCTCGACAGCACGTTGCCTCCATCCCTAATCCCGCCACCATCCCCGCCATGAGTTGCCAAGTCATCATTCGTCCATCCCGATGGGGAGACCTACGCTGGGACCGAATGCAACAGGCCGCGCATATTCGCCTTGTCCAGAGCTGCCTGAAGCGCGTCCATCCACCGGGTCGTGTCGGCGGGCGTCGCACCAAGCAAGTACACGGGCTTTCCTTCCGCGGTGTCGACAACGAACCCTTCAAATTGTCCCTTCCACGGCGCGACAGCCAAGCACGTGATATTCAATTGCGGCTGCAGTTGCCCCGTCTTGTAGCTTTCTCGGTCGGCATAACATTGCAAGGTGGTGTCTGCAAGGACCCCGTAAAGGGGCTGACTCATCTGCCCGTCCGACGACGTCAGCGCCACGGCCGCTTCAAAGCCCTGTGGAACGTGCGTTGTCCCCAACAGCCCCGTCACGTCCGGGTCGATCGACATGTGCGTGCCATATTTCTTGTCGAGCATTTTGAGCACGTCGATGTCGAACCCATGCGAGAGCTCGAGCACGCCGTTCAGCTCGTCGACAAAGTGTTGGCTCACGTGGCTGTACGACTGGAGGATCTTGTCGCGGATGGCTTTGGTCGCGTCGCTGTGGAGCGCCCCCGACGCCTTGCGAGCCGCCAAACGCTGGAGCGCAAGGCCATGTTGAATCGCGCTCATCCAATGCACCTACACGAATTCGTCACGATTTGCACATGCTGAAAGAAGAATCCACTTGGCTTTCCCATATTGCGCCGCACGTACGAACCTTGGTATCGTCCGAGTCAAATGCGACAAAGTACGTGCGGTGGGTGGCCGTGACCAGCTCCAACCCAAAGCGAAATTTGTCGTGTGTGCTTCCCGACCAGTCTGCCACGGCCGCTAGCTCTTTCGGCGGATGGCTCACGGTTTTGGCAACGGCGTCTTCTTTGGTGTCGTACACGTGCAGTACATGGCCCAAGAGGACGCCGTAGAACTTGGCCATGGACGGCATCTCGTAGCCCTTTTTCATAAAATACCCTTGCATGAGGGGCTCGTCCGCGGTGGAGGTCGTGGCCGATAATGCCGACGCGTTGGGGACGAGCGCAAGAACTTGCGGGTCTGCCGCTAGATTCGTGTGGTACACGGCGTCGATTTTGACGAGCAAGTCCATCTCCCGCCCAGCAAACGCGTCGAGTAAGAGCGGGACGTCGGCGACTTTGGCCGGGTTCGTCCTGCCATAGAACCCCACGAGGTACTTTGCCAGGGGAGACTCGTTGAGTGAGGTCGTGTGGTGTGTTGCGATCGCCACGTGGCACGCCGAGAGCCACGTGTGAAACTCGACTTCCGTCGGGAGCTGGGCAAACACTTTCGTCCCTGTCGCCGTGTCGATGTACATGCTAAACTGACCGTCGCCCATGGAGACGTTGTCGATTTGCCACGGGCCAAGCAAAACTTGGGTCATGTCTACGCCAGCGTAGCATGCAAACGTCGCCCCTTCGACGACGCAGTAGCACTTTTTCAGCTGCGGCATCGTTGGCGCGCACTTGACCATGACAAACCCCGATTTTTTGTGCCGGGGGACAGATCCATCGCAAGCCAAGCTCGCTCGCCACGTTGAAGCTGCCACGGACACCCCAAGCGCGTCGGACGAGTACGCCGACATGGCGGTGCACAATTTGTTCATGCGGTCGTCACCAACCAAGTTGGTCCCGTACATCTTGTCTAGAGACGCCAGGAGCAAGTGCTCTTTGCCTCGAAAATGCATCAAGAGGGCTTCAATGCTCGCAAGACCATCGGGATTGTGTGCCTCATAATACGCCACGACGAGCTGTTTGAATTCGGCGCTTTCGGGACTGCAGTCGTCCAGTACAGGGGAGTCCAGAATCTCTTGCAGCGTTGTGCTAGGCACAGATCCAACCGTCATGACATTTTTTGGGCCTCTGAAAGCCAAGGTGAAAAGTACCTTTCGCTCAATTTGAGCGTGACGCGTTGCCGATGCGCTCGGGCGTACTCGATGCCGAGGTGCATTACTCGAATCCAGTGGTCGCGCTGGCCACTCGACGACGTGTCGTATGTTCGCTTGGCGCCGGAGGGGTCCGTGACTTGGAGCTTGAGCGGCTGATCTGGCACCGAGTCCGCCGCCACAAAAACGAGCGTCTCCGTGGGATGGTCTGGCTCGGTGAGGGCTTCGATGCGGGTCGTAAAGTGAAGAAGCTTGTTGCCCAAAAGCACAGCGTACACTTTCACCTTGGTCGTCGTGAGCAGTGCCGGCACGTCGTAGTGCAAGATGCCTTCCAGATGCGGCAACAGACCGTCCGTCTCGATCGCGCTGTCGTCAGCGAGTTTCGTGGCGTGGTATTTCATGAGCTTCGCCACGAGGGACGCGTGGTCTTTGGCTAACGTCGTGCTGTAGGCATCGTCGAGGTGCTTGAGCAGTTCGCCTTCACGTCCCTGAAACAACTTTGTCATCATGTACACATCGTCGTGCTTGGCCGAGTTGTGTTGGTGAAAGTAGTCGGTCAAGATCGTTTCAAACTCGAGGACGGCGCGAGCATGGTCTGTCAGCGGCACCTTGGATTCGTCCGCAACATGGTGAAATGAATCGAGGGAACCAGCAGCGCGGACGTTCGCGGCGTGGTGGCCGATGGCCGTACGAAGCCCCTTCATCCAACGCTCCTTTTCCGCGGCGCTGGCGGCGCTGCAATGGATATGCGCGTGATGCGCCGTATCGATTTGAAACGCGTGGGGGTACGTCATCAAGAGCAGGCGCCCGTCCCAGTCGGCCACACGCACTACTTCCGAACACGGCACAGTCGTTGTGTCGGGAGACAGCGGGTCGCTGCCCGTCTCTGCCTTCGCCGCAACGTACTGCTCATGGCTGTCAAAAAAGAAAATGTGAATGCCGACCACGACACAATACTTGCGCTTCATCGCCGGGACGAAGTGGCCTTGCTTCACCAAACTGCCCTCTACAACCACAACGTCTGCTTTGTTCGAGGCGACATCTTTGTCCTTTTGGAGCGACGGGGGAAATGGACTGTCCAAACGGCCGGCGTCCGATGTCGCAAAGAAGCTCATGCGATGCGTGTGCGCGGGAGGCGACGTCAAGTCGAACGAGTCGCGCCGTGTCTTGGCATCGCGGGCACGCTCTGGCGACATGGGGATCATTGTCGCACCCGTGAGAATGGCGACGCTCCACGTCGACACTTCGTTCGCCACACTCGCGCTCACGTGGAGCTCTTTGCCTTCGACGGTTGGAATTGCAAACGCATTCGGGTACGTTGTGAGCCCGACTTTGCCGCTCCAGTCCTTGATCGGTCCCGCGACGTGGACAACCCCCAGCGGTGACCGGATGTGTTGGATGTAGTCGTCTGCATTCTTGTACCAGCACAACGTCTTCCCGAACAAAACAAAGTACTTTCGATGCATTTGGGGCCGCAGCGTATTTTGGACCTTCAAGTACCTACATCTCGATTGTGACTCGTCGAAGGCAAAGAGCAGCATGCACCCTTGGGCCAGCGAATCGACATGGGAATGACTTGACGTCCACGACGCCAGGCGCAACTTCACTTTGACTTTGGCCGTTTGTGCCGTGTGGAGCGCTCCAGTTGCTTCTTGGATCGTCTGCTCGGCATTCTGCTTCATCGCCGCCACGTCTGCGACTGCGGCGGCAATCGTTCCTTCCAGCTGAATCATCGTCACTCGTACGTTCGGTTCAGAGTGCAATTACCGCAGTCATTTCATCCTGGATGTCGTGGAGGGCCTTTTGCAGCGTTGTGACCACGTTCATCTCTACTTCGTACATTGCGGAGAGAGTGGCCGCGTCCTTCTTCAGCGCGTCCGACACTCGACTGGGTTGTGCGGCATGGCGCAGGATATCGTCGTGCGCAACGTGCTTGGCCGCCTGGGCCTTTTCCATCGTTTCGTTCGCTTTGCGCTCGGCATCGTGCAATTCGTCCGTGGTCCCTTGAAGTTTTTGACTCAATACAACTTGTTTTTCCTTGAGCATTTTGACATGTTCTTCGCCGCCGCGGATCGCGCGAGATGCGTCTTCGGCGCGCTTGACCTGCGACCGACGGGTTAGGATCCGCAATGGGTGGAACGGGCGAGACGTACTGCTTCTGCCGCGATGGATGCGGTGTCGCGCTCTTCCTTGACTTCCGAATTCAAGTCTCTTTGGGCGTCGATGATTTCATCTGCCACGATTCGATATGGCTCTTCAAGCGACGACTGAATCGCATGAATCCTGGCATGACGCGTTGAAAATCAGGTATCGATTCGTCGTCGTCTCGTCAGTGACTCCCGCGGGGTGTACGCACCATTCCTTTTGAAGCAAAGCCGAGTCGACGCTGCACTGGTACGATTTGCCCCCGAGAGCGACGAGGACGAACCCGTGGTCGTAGTGCTTGAACGTAGACCGCCCGTCCCAGAGCTGGACTTGCGTAATTTCAATCACTTTGTGCGGAGCGTGGCCTCGGTCGAACTCGTGCTCGGACCCGTACACTGACAGCATGGACCCTTCCAGAACACAGAACACACGTTTCCTGTCGAGAGGGGGGAGATATCATAAGGTCCATGTCGTGACTCTAGCTGCACGGAGCAGTGCCGGACGTACATGGTGGGGAGCGTGTACCCTCGCTTCCACATGAGCCCCTTCATGTTCCTTCCCAGTCGTCCAAGACAGGAATCGTGTCGTCCAGAAAAGGCGAGCGCCGACAAAATCCAAACGACTCCCGTTGTGTCGTTTCAAGATATTTTGACCGTTACAAAACGACAAGCCATCATCGATGGAGGTGGAAGTCGCAGCAGGTCTTGGGCAGTGCGCACATGCAGAATGCATCTTAAGTCACCACGACATCTTTCTCTCCATGAATGATGTTGGCTGGGTACACTCCCAAGGCCGCGTGCTCTGCGAATTGCCAGTCCAGAGCGTCCCCCGTCGTACTGGCATGCGATAGCACGAGCACAGACGCCGTGGTTTCCGCCATGTCCACCAGGACCTGACGCGCAAAGAATTCGTCATACATCGCTCCTTGCCGCAGTCGATCGTCGAGCAAGGCGTGGACTCGTTTTTGAACGGCCGTCTTGGACTTGGATGGCGGTACGACCTCCAGCTGGCTCTCGACGAATGCTTTCCAAGCGAACCGGTACTTTGCGTCGTTACTGGTGAGCAACTTGCGCAAGTCGAGCGCCAAAACGTTGGTCGTGCCTTCCCAGATCGTCTGGGCTTGGCAATCTCGCAGCAGTCGGGCAAGCCCGACGTCTTCCATGTACCCTGCGCCGCCCAAGGCTTCGAGGCATTCCCCGATGCCAGACAAGCTCGCTTTTGAACACCACGCCTTCACTAGCGGTGTTAGAACCCGCAGCAACGACGCTGCCGACTCATCCGCACTAGTGTCACCCCCACAGTTCATGGCTTCATGTCGGCCCAAGATGGCCACCGTGTGAAATACAAGATGTAAACAAAGGCGATATGACGTGTGAAGGTCCCACAGCGTCTTTTTGTGCAAAGGAAGGTCGGCCAGCTGACGTCCGAAGGCCGCTCGCTTGGTCGCATACGAATCGGCGATGGCAAGAGCGCGACGGAAGAACGACACAGCGTTGACTGCCGTGTGGACCCGCGTGATGTTGAGCATGGTGGCGATGGTGGCCACTCCACGCCCTGGCGTTCCAATGAGTTCCGCATCCATGCCGTATAGCTCAAGCTCGGCCGTCGGCAATGCGCGGGTACCAAGCTTGGGTTTCAGGCGTTGAATACGAATTCCGTTGAGTTGGGATTTCGCCGAGTCCTGGTGGATGCGGGCAAAGAAGAGGGACAGTTTCGGAGAATCTGGGATGCGAGCAAGGAGGAGAGCCATCTCGGAGTCGGTGGCGCTGGAGAACCACTTGAATCCATGCAATCGATATCGACCGCTGTCTTGATGAGGAATTGCAATGGTTTCTATACGAGACACGTCGCTCCCCCCTGTTCGCTCGGTCATCCACTGGCCGGACGTCCAAGCATGGGATGGGTCGCGGGAAAGCAATCGCTTATAAGCATGCTCAAGTGTCCGAGACTTCGTTGGCAATCCTTGGATGAGTCGAGCTGCTCCGTCTGCCATCGCCAACGGACACGTGAACACGGCACTGGATGGAGCGAAGAGGTAGAGCTTTGCAAATTGAAACACTCGCGCATATTCGCCGTGCGATCGATCGTAAGCAAGGGCAATGAGTCCTTCTTCAGCTGCAATTCTCTTCATAGTTTTCCAACCTTGTGCCATCACTAGACGGTCAACACGACGGCCCCATGCATCCGTGGCAACATGTTCTGGAATGTTTGTTTCTGCGTCATTGCAGGCTTCCAGTATGTCAGGTGCGACAACTCGCGCTCCAAAACGATGTAGTTCCGCGTCGGCGTGCATCACGTCACGGACGTGTTGAGGGATTAACCGCCGGACCAATGACACCAGTGCTCTGTCGTCATCGTACTGGTTCCCGAGCTGAGGGGGGTCCTGAAAGAAGCCTGTGGTGGCCGAAGACAGTTGTCGTGACGACGCAGACTTCCCGTGGAGGGTGCCGACGCGAGCAGACCAGCGCCAACGTAGCAGCATGCTGGAAAAAAGATTGGCGCAATTGAAGTTCGCAAGGATATTGGTCAAATCTATAGACAAGCTATTTCGACCAGTTTATCCTAATAGAAGGGCAAAAAATGCATATTTTTCGGTGATTGAATTTGCGCCAACATGAGCGACAGCGACAGCGAGATCGACAGCATGCTTCACGCGTTGGGACTCCCGCCTTCGCAGAGAAGCACCGGATCGGTACGGGTTGGAGCATTAGCTCGTCGAGAAGACTGCATGTGTGTGTAGGCATCATCGTCGCAACCAACTAGTACTAGTTGCCGCGCACCACTGTTACCACGACAGCCAATACCGGATTCATCCATTGTCGACCTATCCGAGACGTCTCCATTGACAAAACGATCCAAAGTTCGTTCGAGCCCGATCCTCGCCCCTGCCGCCAATGTCTACTCTGCTCCTCCCGTTTGTGATGTGATTGAACTCACAAGCGACAGCGAGCCCGACACTCATCGACACACGCGGTTGACGCGAATATTTGTGTGATTCCTGTCTCTCATAACTCGAAACTTTGGTAGATCGCCAAGTCCTTCGAATCCCGTGGATGTCTCCATTATAAGCATCAATACGAACTCGGACGAGGAAGAGCCCAATGCCTTGCTCCACAATGACGACGACATCCTTCCGTACGAGGACGAGGATTACTTCAATGCGATGCAGCAAGGAACACTGACATACAGCCCTACGTCCGACATTTCGATGGCTCTGCCTCCTTCAACACCATCCACATCTCTAGTGACCCCAGACCCGGTTACTACCCGACCATCACCACCACGACCTGTCCCACCTTCGCGACCTCGAAAGCGTTCCAAACCGGTGCTCTATGTCGCACTGGAAGCTTCGTGGAGTGAATCGGAAGCTGCAGTGAAGTTCAAAGAGGCACTGGCTTCCCATACACCGAAACCCATCCCACTCGTCCCTGCCATTCAGTGTGACGTATCATCCGTCGTGCTCTGGGATCATGCTGCTACGTTGGGCGCTTCAAATGAGCCGATCTTGACGCGAGTGCCCATGGCATGCCGAGTGTTTCCAGCGTTGGACTTCCTCGCAGCCATAGACGCGCAATACGCCCCCATTTACGACGTGATAGGTCAGCTTCGGCAAGTTCTACCATGAGTTTGGTGAGGTGGCTCATGGCCGTGTGTAGGAATGTGCTCAACGACTCGACTGCGCGGATCTTTCTTGTCGTGGAAGGTATGGACAAGGCCCTAATTGCAGAGCAACGCAAGCAACGAAAGGTGGGTAGTTGCTTGGAATCTCGTCCATATTCCAACGAGTTGTCTGTCAGACGCCGCTGACGTTTGCGCACGTCCAACACGCATGCGTGCATTTGTTCATGAATTCTTTCTGCCACATCAAGGTACGGTCGTTTCTCGCCGACGCGTTTGCCCTGATGGCCCATTCGAACGCCCTCCCAGTTCACTACCGACGTCAACGATACCGCGCAATACTTGTACTCTCTCACAAGAGAAATCGGCCTGCTTCCACAAGCGTACGTTGCTGGCCATGCAGGTCACGACCTTCTCTTGCCAGACACTCACATGGACTGTGATCACGTGCAGGGACGAGGTGGACTTTTTGACGCATGTTGGTCGACTCACTTCGCTTCGCGCGACCCCAGATGGAGGTAAGGCCTGAAGGAATGGCGCCACGGTGTTAATGCAGTTTGGATGTTCAGACACTTCCAACGAGCTGACTAATACGTGGCTGCGCATGCTCCAAATGGTACGGTGGCTAAGATGTGTGCATCTCATCGTGCGAGTACGCAGGTCCCAGGAATGAGCGAAGAACGAGCTCAACGAGTCGTGGGGTTTTATCCAACGATGCAGTCGCTGCTACAAATATATCACAACCCGGCGCTACCAGTCGAGGCAAAGGAAGTCGTCCTTGCGGTGTGTTTCTCTGCAAAACCATTGTCATCGTCCGACAACGTGAGCTTGCGTTCCAGGAGAAAATCAATGCCAACTCGATCGAAATCGTACTCTCCAAGCGAATATACACCGTGTTCACATGCACGGACCCCAATCGTGTCGTGTAAAGCCTCATACAAACGTCACTCTCGAACGTTCTCGAAGACACAATGCCTCGTTTGCGTCCGCACATCAGACACAGAAAAATTCGACCCCATCGCACCAAGTTGCGTCGTCGGTTGTTTCCTTGTCCCAACTCCTAGGCGAAGCTTTCGCCACGTCGTTCGGCTTCGTCCGCCCTGCCACATCCGCTCCGTCGTTGTTTCTCTGTTCGCGAACATCGCGTCAGCGCGCATGGCCGTTTTTCCCATTTTTCATCCGTTTTTTGCGACTACATATATTTTTCAAGTACATGCAAATCCTTTAAAAATAATATCATAGATAGTCGCCTCTGATTGGCTGACGACAGTCATGAATCTAGCCAATCAAACGCCAGGCCGATTATAATCTGGGGTTCCAACATTATCCGGCGCAGTCGTTTCCGGATCAAAAACACGCGGTTTGCATCAATCGACCACTTGCTCCATCCTCGTAATGTCGGCCTCTAGACGCCGCTCCTCGAAAGAATACGCCGTGGCCAACGCTGGTACGTCCGCGTTGTAACTTCGATGCACAACTGAAGGAGGTGCTGCCATGTAGCTCTATTGAACGACCCCAAAACGACCGCCGAACAGGACGAAGAGACTGGGAAACTTGACATCAGCACCGTCGCGAAACCCACCGCAGAAGTGCTGCCGGACCTGCCGTCACGAGCGCGGTCGAAGAGCCGCGAATTGTCTAAAAAGCAAGGCGGGGGAAAGAAGGGGCTGTGGGGGAAACCTGAAGATCTCATTGTCCTTCCCAAGGACGAAAAACATGACCCGAACTATGATAGTGAAGAAGAGTCGGACGATGTGATTCTTGTCACGTCGTCCCCCAAGGCACGACGTCTCTCCACCACGGCCAAGGCAGCGCTGTTCGAAGGCAATGCACGAGCGTTCGGGATCAGTCCTGTCCCAGACGAGGTGAAGGCTCAAATCGAAAACATCATTGCCGAATACTTTTCAAGCGGAGACGCCGACGAAGTGCGCGTTCGCCTTGATGAGCTCTCTGTTGACACTGGTACTTGTTGTTCATCCGATCTTGTTGCGTGCTGACTGGTTTTTTAACCAGACGGCCAATTTAACTATGAACTCGTGAAGCGCGCCATCACCATGTCGATGGACAAGCACGAGCGCGAACGTGAAGCTGTGTCCCGCTTGCTCTCGGAACTGTATCTCAACGGCTTGACACCTGTCGAACTTGCCCAAGGTTTTCGCCGAGTGATCGTGTCGGCGGACGATCTGGCCCTCGACATTCCGACCGCGGTTCATATGCTTTCGATATTTGCGGCACGTGCGATTGTGGACGAAATCTTGCCGCCTCGATTCCTGGAAGACCCTGTATTAGCATCCCATGGCGAGGATGTCGTTCAAGAAGCGGTCAAGAAGCTGAGTATCAACCACGGAACTGTTCGTATGGAAAAGGGGTGGGGACCTGGTGATGGTCGACCCGTGGAAGAGCTCAAGGTTGCCATCGACCAGCTTACGAAGGAATACCTATTGTCCGGGGACCTTGAAGAAGCGTCAGCTTGTGTGCGAGAACTGAACGTTCCTCATTTCCACCACGAAGTAGTCAAGCGCGGCATCATCAACTCGTTCGAAGAAGGCAAGGAGTACACGAACGCGATCGGGTCCCTGTTGGCGTACTTGGTGAGCCAAGACATCGTGTCGACGGCGCAGCTGCGTAAAGGCGTGGACAAGGTGGCGTTGGCCCTTCCCGACATCCAGCTGGACGTTCCTGGCGCCAAGGGCTTGCTCTCGGCCCTCGTTACCCGCGCCAAGTCGGACGGGATTCTCCCTCCCGACTATCACCTGCAGTAGGAAGACAAACTCTTGAACGTTGGAAACAATCTTTTTGGACTGACGCGGCATAATTGTTCCGATAAAAAAATAACAAAAAATGGATTCTTTTTCTCATTTTATCGGTTTCCGCATCGTTTTAAACACATGTCCAATGCAAAAACACTCGTAAAACGGCTGTAACGGTTGTGTGCACATGCAATTGTAAAGGCGGCAGACATGCCAGGGCATCCTCCATCACGGCGCCGACGTCCCCCAGCAGCAGATAAGATGCCATGGTATCGGTACGGAAAAGACAATACTTCTAGTTCTGGAGCGAACTACTGACAAGTCTGGCAGGAACACGTTTGATGCAGAAGGTGTGTTGATTGACGAGGAGTCGGGAGAACTGAGTTATAAACGCCCTGGACGACAAAGCTCCTTCGATGAAACTCAAGAGCGAGAGGAGGTTGAGCGTCCCAACTATCAGCCCGCGCCACGACAGTATGCATCGACGTGGACAAAGCGGCAGGTTCGCAGCAGGCTTAACAGAATCGCGATGCAAAGCACATTTCGTTCATAGGACAAGCGATTGGACCCACTCGAGACGAAGCCTCCATCATCTTTGTCTCTTCCCCGTCCATCCTCAACCCCACAGCTCTCGTCGAAACTCCTCGGGTACTTCTGTTGCCTCGTGGAATATGTGCATGGTGGTTCATGCATGTCTTGCTTTGTCTATCCAGTCGAATGAGCTGGGACCCCGAAGTTCTCGAGATTGGAACCTTACGGAGTGAGATGGGTGACACTGTCCCTCCAAGGGACAAGCTGCGCCTCATGAGCTCGCTCAAGCTCCCATTCCGCGACAACGACCGCCACGCCGTGGACATATCCCTTTCACGACTTCGCACCAACACGCGCATCCAGGCAATTCTCAAGCGCGACGAGTCCAAATTCCATCCCCCCATCGCGAGAGACGTGTCGTTCACCCCCGTCGTCCGAGCTAGGCAGACCCTTCTGACCAAGTTTTCGTTTCATGACTCCATGTCCCATCTCCCGACGTCGATGGCCGAAGACGACGACGATGATGACCTCCACGACAAACCCGACGATCGAGTCGAGAAGGCCCAGTCCCTGTCCAAACACAACCAGGTCAAGTACTTTGGCGAGTCAGCCAAGCACGCGTTCTATGCCCACTACCACCACGTTTCGTCCAAGCAGCACCTGTTTCGGTCGAGTCCCCATCGTGCCCCTCCTTCGGAACCCTCAGAGGATGACGAGCCCACCACCGACAGATCACGCGGGACTGACATGGTCCCTCAGACACCTGCTGCCGTGGCGGCTCCCGACATTACGCCGCGGACTCGAGTGGTCGTCGGCAGTTTGTCCGACCAGCGGCCAGCGATACCGCTCATCATTCGAAAGCACACCACGAGTGTGTTTGACTTTTCGTTCCAGGTCAGAACAAATATTGTGCATGATCTGGACTTGGCGTCATGCATAGTCGCTCGGCGACGACTACATCCGGCAATTCGCGGCTTGCATCCACTCGCTGCCTTTCGTGGAGGAGATCAACGTTCGCGACAATCGACTGAGCGACGTCGGACTCGACGCGCTGCTGGTGGCCATCCATACGAATCGACTCAAGTTGCGTAAGCTCGACATTTCCGAGAACGAGATCGGGTCCGATGCGGCCAAGACGTTGCGCGTTTACATCGAATCCAACGAGTGCACGCTACGGCACTTGTACAAATAGTGCTCCGACACATGTCCGCTGCACTGACGCCATGCTGTAGGGTCATGGAGAAGTCGGATATTGACGACTTTGAATGCGCCGCGTTCATGACTGCGTTCGAAAAGAACACGAGCGTGCTCGAGCTCACGATGCCTCGCAATCGCATTGGCGAAGCCGAACAACTGAACGTTGTCCAGCCCGAGATTACGACCGGCGGCGAAGCCATTGCGAGCATGCTGTGCGTTTGTCATCCTGTGGCTGGATGGGTCACTTGACGTCGTGCCTAGTTATGTCAACGTAACGATCGCAAAATTGGACCTGAGCTGGAATCTCCTGCGCCTTGAATCGGGTGTGACGCTCGCGAAGTCACTCGAGTTCAACAAAAAGCTGTTGGAGCTCCATGTTGCGTACAACGCGTGCGGCGACGCCGGTGCCATGATGTTTGGCCATGTTCTGACCATCAACACAACACTAAGAACCCTTGACTTAAGCTACAACAATGTTGGATGCCGCGGGGCGTTGGTGCTGGCGAGTGCCGCAAGCAAGACTAAGACCCTCCGGCACTTGCTCCTAAACGGCAACAACATCGGGAAGGAAGGAGGGCGGGCCCTCATGTTTGCCATGTGTTCGACGCAAACAGACCAGGGTTCGTGTGCCATGGCACACGAGAAGGAGACGTTCCAAGCCTTGGCTGGCTAGGGTGCGATATTGAGATTACGGGATGCAACCTCGCGTCGACGAATCAAGGAAAGAGCGGCAAAGGAAAGATCTTCGACCCGACCGACCCCGCGGGCGAATACTCGTTGGAATTGACGGATCCATTCGACCAAATGATCGCCACGGAACTCCTTCGCCTCGCGACCAACAAGAAGGGCTGTCGGTTTGAAAAACTCAAGCACCATTCACGCCTCGAGCGTGTGAAGAATAAAGGTTCGAAGCACGCACAGCACACTCGACTCATGGGCCATGTCTCGACAGGCACGGTGATCCAGCTCGTCCACCCGACTCCATCGACCGTCTTCAACAGTCCCCTCGATGTCTTTTATACAAATTCCATCGCCAAACACCGAGGTCGAATCGACAACCTGCAGGTGGACGTGTTTGCGTTGGCGGCGGTATTTCGCGCGCTGCATATGGCTCCAAGCGTCGAGATGCTGCAAGAGATCTTGACCCACATGAACGCGCACTGGACGGCCGACTTGGACGAGCAAGACTTTAGCTGCCAGTTCTTCCACTCTCTCTTTGAAATCACAGACGTGGACGGGTCGGGGGGGCTGGACGCCGTCGAGCTCAAGCGCATCATGGATGTGCGTTCGTTAGCATCGCGTGTCCATGGTGCGAATCTACTGAAGCAGTCCTTACGAGTAGAATCTCGGGTCGCCCATGACGGACCACGACGCGGCGCTCGCGATTGCCCAATACGACCTCGACAGCAGCGGAACGATCGAAGACTTTGAATTTGTCGAACTGATGAACGCCCATGTCCGGTTTCAAGCGTTCGGATCCAAACATTCCCTCGCCGGCCTCGATCCAAATCGGTTTGCGTTGCGCGATGCCGCGTCAAATCAAATCTGGCACATCCCGATCGAAGGCCGGCTCGAAGTCTCGTTCGTGTACGAGCGCGAAGCGGTGCTGGACGTGCACGACGCCAAGAACCGTACGTTTTGCAGTTGTGTGGTCCATCGCGTTGTTGCATGAGCAATTCCATGGTTGGTACACAGGCATTACGGACGCCGGGATTGCCCAGTTGATTCGAAACATTCACCTGCAAGCAAAAAGCCCGCAAGAGAAGCTCGAGATGCTCTTTTTTGCCATCAACGATTCCGAAGTCGGTCGATGCAGTCGTTCCTGGGCTCATGTTTGGTTGCACTCGGGTAGATCTTGTTTTCCGCGGCACAGGCGTACGAGTTGCTCGAGCGGTGCGGGGGCCTAACGCAAGATGTTCGCGTCAAGGCAGTGAGCCACGCACTGTTCCAAATGATCACGGCGAAAGATGCTCAGCGACTTGTCTCGACGACGCTCAACCTGCGGGAACGCGCCAAGCTCAAGGTCGACTTGGGCAATGCCTATGCCGTCATCATGGGAAACCCAACCGCGCACTTTGCGTTGGATTTGGTCAACAAAGCGGATCGTTGGGTCGCGCAGAAACTGGTCGAGACAGCTCAAACTGAGAAGAAGCTCTCGATTGCGTCCAAGCGCGGTGGTGCGAGTGTTTCGCCGCATCGTAGCCAGTCATTGTACGCGTTGTGGTAGACACGTCGCAGCACATGAACTGGGAAAATTTCCGAAACGAGACGCTCGAAGGAGAAAAGTTTGTCCTGACAACGTCGTTCTTCAACTCGCTTCCGCAGTGCGGTCGCCTCGAATTCGACTACGTGTCCACAAGTCGGCCCCCAAAAGGTAGGTCGAGTCGTCGCGTGAATAGAACGAGTCATCTTTGCAGGCTCCAAGGCACTGAGCAACCGACGGTACGAGCAGCTCGTCAAGGAGCTCGCCAAGGACTGTGTCATCATCGACATCCCGGAGGGTGGAGACCAGCCACACGTGCCGCTCGACCCCGTGGCACGGGCGCAGCAGCGTTGGAAAAAGCTGCGCGATTACGTCCGCCACAATCAGTTTGTAAACATGATCAACTACGCAAGGTCGCACATTTTTCGCATCAAGAACTGCCGCGACGAAGTGCGTCTCAAGTTGGTCCAGATCGAAACGGCGGTCAGTGATCGATACCTTACTGCGGAGCAGGTTTGACGTCGTCCATATTCGGGTCAACTGCTGAGGATTGCATGCAGGCAAGTCGCATTGTCATGAGCATGCCTAGCGGATTCCACGGCCGAGTTGAAGCGGCGCGGGTGCTGTTTGCCCGACTCGTCGACGTCGGCAATTTTTGCGAGATATTTGACCTGCTCGATCGAAACGACCAGGCGGAGCTGATCAAGTCTCTCGGGTGGCTGAACGTGTTCAACCCTGAAAAGCCCGACCGGTTCTATGAATTGGACTTGAGTGTCCTGGAAGATTACAACATGGCTAAAATTCTCATTCGCCTCGCTGTCATCGAAGAGGTGCGGACACGACCGGTACCGAGACAAACGACTCCCTTGATGCCATAGGGAGACAACTGGCTGGACGGATATACGTACTCGCCGTCAAAAACCGAACCACCGTTTCCGCATTGGATCCTGCCTGCGTCTTGGGATGCAGATGATACGGGCAAAGGCGAAGGGCCTCGCCGCACTGGCGTCCTTCGATTGACATTTACGTCAAAGCTCGAGGACGGTTGCATTCCCGACTGGGACGCCCGCAAAGAAATCAAATCCCGGGTCTTGTGTGGACCGTAACCCCAGCTACATCACCTCTTGTCGCATGGACTTGCGTGACGAGCGTCGAGATAATGCAGCAAACGACCGCTTGGGCGTCTGAAAATGTGCGTTTTGGCTTCGAATCAGCGGACGCCACACAGGTGGCCAACGACAGATATCCTGCCATGCAGACATTGCACTCCACATGTTGTGTGCGACAGAGTCGAAAACTATCAGCAAGCCACTCTCTCGTCGTTGCTGCCAGCGCAACTTATCCAGCTCGTCGTAGAGTAGGGAAGGCAGTTTGTGCCACCCCAAGATCACTTAAACGCAAGAACACTTGGCGTCAAGAGGCAATTGCGAAATGTGGTGCTCGTATGCACACAGGACTCAGGCACACATTTACGACCACGCCAGGCCACGCAGGATCCCTTCCTTCTGGAATCCACCATGCAGTTGGGGGGTTCATCTCACGCTGGCTTTGGGACAGCACTCGTTTCAAGTCATCCTGTTGAGTCCTCCACCATCGAAGGCGCGGATGGTGATGCGCGAACGATTTCGACTTTGTTGGCTCCTTTGCATTGCTTTACTTGGCCATCAATTGCAAGTACGATCATCAATTGCAAGTACGATCGGCCATCCGCACATGCCGGTGAGTCACCAGATCAGCCCATGGAGCAGGCGACGATCCCTCCGGCACGACAATGCGCAGGATGCGAAGGGTCGAATGCCCCATTCCGAGAGTCTTACGAAACAAGTCGCGTGAGATTACATCGCTTATCCGTCGACATCACGCATGTCGACTGGATGGTCACTTGGCGGCAAAAGACGAAGATTGTGAAACGTCACATAACCTTCGAAGATATCAAATCGACCAATGCAACGAGTTTGGGTAGAGCAAAAGACAGAACGCGGCTCGATCGGAAGGTCGAACAGGATGTACCAAGAGTGTTGTCAAGATTACATCGTATCATTCGCATAGTTGCGTTTTGTAGGACCTCCATGGAGCTCGATGATCTTCGTCCTGGAAACTCGAAGCGCGCTACTGAAAGCATGCAACCGAATTTTTGAGTCGGAGTTGGACCTTTTTCGAAACCCCAGTTTGAGTCGGTGTTTTGTTTTGTCGCCAACTCGGACATTTTCAAAAACTCAAAATTTTGGTCGACATTCTAAAAATTCCTCTTGCATTTCGAGAACACGACAAATTGGAAAAAAGTTGGTCAATTTTCTGTTGACCAATCAGTGGAGTTTACCCCAAAATCCTCGAGTGTGGAACTCGAACGTGTTTTTCTCACGTTCAGCGAAGGTTTTGGTTGACGTGAAATTTCTTGAATTATCCTGTTCGTGTACAGTCTAGTCTATTTATTCCATGGCACTCTAACCAACCATGTACTTGAAAATTGTATTGTGTACGGAGACATATAAACTCATCAAACTTTGCTCAATTTAACTCGCCTGGATTCATTTTATATATATTTTCTTTTTCGCACAAGGCAATTTGCATGACTGGATGTAAATATAACGTTTCCATGTCATGAATGAACAATACTACAATGGATTTGGTCGAAATACTCCCAAATTGCAAACTAACATGGCAAGATGTTCACGACACGGCGATGTAAAGGCGCCGTGACTCACGAGAGAGGCAAGCGGACCACTTCACCACTTACCTCGAACGTGTTGAACTATGCGCGCTGTGTGGACTGCCTTGTTGACTTGTGCCGCGTTGGTTGGTGCCCAGACGCCTCCCGCCTCTGGGTGGGTGAACCCTCTCGTTGCCAAGGGCTCCAAGTTTTTTGACTCGGTGACCGGGTCCGAATTCCGAGTCAAGGGCATTGCGTTGTACCCCCGCGCGAATACAGGCAAGAAATTCAGCGCGAACTCGGTCGACTGGTTCACGGACGACATGGAGTCGATCTGGCGACCCCAATTGGAACACCTCAAAGCGTTGGGCGTCAACACGATTCGCATGTATGCCATCGACCCCACCTTGCCGCATGACAAGTTTATGTGTGAGCTCAACAAGCTCGGCATGTACGCCTTTGTCGGGATGTCTGCAATGTAAGTTCACTCTACGTGCGACGAGATGGAATCTCACCAGCACCGCGATGCAGCTGTGAAGGGTGCTATATCCTGGACGAAGAAGCCCCCAAGTGCTACACGGACGCGATGTTTACGCGTGCCATGCAAATTTACAACGCATTTGCGGTGTACGACAACGTGATTGTACGCCGCATTCTCCATCATCGCGCAGAGTCTGACATGACCCATGCTTCACTGGCAGGGGTTTTCCGTCGGGAACGAAAACAATTTAGGCAAGTTGATCGAAAAGTCGGCGCCATGTGTCAAAGCGCTCATCCGCGATGTCCGTACTTACGCCGACAAGTGCACGGGATTCCTTCGCAACGTCCCCATCGGTCTCGACAACGCCGACATTGACACACCGACGCATCCTCGTGCGAGCTGGCTCGGCTACTACGACTGCGTCAAGGACTCGAACGAAAACACCCGTGCCGAGTGGTGCGCCATGTTGTGATGGGCAAATGCGACTGATCAACGTACCCATGGATGGCAGGATCGGGTTCAACCCGTACGTGGAATGCGACCCGACGACCCATTTGACGTACGCACAATCGGTGGGGCTTCAGAAGCTCATGGCGGACTACAAGAAGGCCAATTATCCCCGCCCGATTGTGTTTGGCGAGTTCGGTTGCATCGAGATCAATAACACAATCGGGGGCATCGAGCAACAGCGCACTTTCTACGACGTACGACCGATGGTGGCTCACGGATCTCCACGACTGACTGGTGTTGTAGGCCAAGTGGATGAACGAAGAGCCCGAGATGACGGACCTCATTGTCGGTGGCATTGCGTTCGAGTACAGCGTCGAAAAAGACAACTTGATCGACAAGACGGGTTGGTTATGAAGCAACGATGGATTGGTTCTTCATGGATGGATGGCTGTAGCGACGCCGCCATTTGCCGGCAAGGACGCTGGTCGGTACGGCGTTGGGTACTTCAGCCCCGACAACTGCGACCACGACGCAATCCCGTGCAAGTATTCCAGGTACCCCGAGTTTGACAACCTCGCCAAGGCGTACAACTCGACCAAGCCGTCCACTGTCACGATCAAGTCGTTCGTCCCGACCCGGAACGAAGCCATGGCTTGCCCCGCCGACTTTCCCACCGTGGCCCTTCCCCCGCGCCCCAACGGTGTGTGCTTTGTCTCGTCAGTACGGCTCACAAATCTTCGTTGCAGTCAAAATTTTCGAGTGCTCTGTGTACCAACCCAAATGCAACGGCGGGTTGTCCAACAAGCAAGCAGTCAAGCCGGACGCGTCGACTGCGGCGCCCAAGAAACCTTTTGGTCCTGCTGCGACAACTGCCGAACCAGGCTCACCGTCCACCCCTGGCGCCAACGCCGCAGCGCCAACCGCGCTCGCCCTTGCTGCCATTGGAGCATGTGCCGCCATGATCCAAGGGGCCTGAGTCGTGACGTCATTGAAACGTCGCTTGGGTTGCCCATGATTTAACTATCACAATAATTTTGTCACCGCGATTGTAAACGTAAGATGAGTGAAAGGAGGCGGCTTGTGCAGCCGATGCAAGTGCTGTAGCCAGCGTACGCCAGTCTAAATTCGAGTGAGATTGGCGACACCTTAGGGAATCGCAGCTTCCGCTGGGCGAAGTCAGTGTTAGCAATACAGCCATAGACAAGCAAAGCTCTCGCAGTGACCTGCACAACGGAGTGCTTGCTACCGTATGTCCTGCTTTCTTAACTCGCAAGTTCACCTGCACGGCGATTTATGTGTGGCGAGCAGTCACCCGAAAACCCTGATGCCCCGGTTTTGGTATGCACCGGTGAATCATCTCTTTCAGTAGAACCGCTTCAAGCCTCCAACTTTCAGTGGTAGCAAAGCAGTTATCCGAGACAAGCACCACCGCGTGCTACAACGAGTTTGATGGGTCCAACCATCCTGGCCCCCAGTCGCACGCGCCGATGCATGTCCAAAACACGGACACACGGACGCAGCCGCGGCTATGGCCGCGCAGCCCACGTCAGAGTCGATCCAGGGAAACCACTGGTACACGGTCGCTCCCGGCATACTCGTTGTGACATTTCTCGGGCGGAGCGTCGTCGATGGCGTCCGTGTTGCCCGCCGTCAAGCCATGACCACGAGATCGCTACACGAGACCGGCGTTTCCGTACCCTCGGTCTGTACGCTGTACCTACGCACGCTGACGTATACGAACATCGAAGGAGGTAGCAAGCAGTAGTGCATGTCGTGCCTTACGAGTGCAGTTAGCCCATGTGCACAGAGCGCGTCCTTTACTGGCTCAGCCATGAGATGAGAAGAATGTGACAAATGAAATCGTTGGGGTCAAACATGGCCACTGCACGAAAGTCGGCACAGCATGGCAGTCGCCAAATTCGAGATATGGAAGGCATCCATGCATGGGATGAATTACTGCAGGTTTTCCATCACGGACTTTTCGGCAGGGTACAATTTGCTGATTGCTACTTGTCGTCGCAACAGATGCAATTGCTCGTAGCCGAAGCCAAGCGACGCTGTCAAGTCGCTGTCGCGCAGACTGGCGTTGGCGCGGAAGTCAGCCTTGATGCGGCGCAAAGAATATGTGCGGAACGTGTAGTTCTACACCGCACACCGACGTCATCCTCCATCAAAATTATCCAATACATATTTATAAGAGTACCTGGAACTGCGCTGCTTCGAGAAGCAGATCCTTGTACAAGCGCAAGACTTCGGAGCGGCGGGCCATGGCGGTCGAGTTGGCGAATACCACAGAAGACTCGGCCAAATGTCCCTTCTCTGATTGGTCGAGTTGGGATTCCTTTTGTCCAATCATCAAGGACAATTTTCTAACACTTTACCGTATACTTTACGCCAAGGTCGAACAAGTACGACGACCTTATGTACGATATTGAAGGTTCAGGTTGGCAGCGAACCGTTGCGCAATTCCACTGAGGCGCCGACCGCGGCACCACGATGAGCAGCATGCAGCAGCTCATGGAACACTTACGCAAAATCGAGTCGGGGAAACCAACCAACACAAGGGTCCTTCGGACGTTCCAGGAACGGCATTGTGCAGACATGACGGGTGAGGTCACTTGCACCGACGGCAACATCGAAGCCACTATCAACCCACACGACATATATTCCCTTCTGTCACAAGGAAAAGTGCCGCGCAAGTCGAAGCAAGCCGTACCAAATAAGAAAACATCTTCAAAGACAACGCAACGACGGTCTGTTGCACCTCCAGCCATCGTCGTACCACTGGACGTACGCCGCGACACCTTGCACTCACAGATGGCGCACCTTCTCCTTCCACAGCCGCAGCTAACCACCGCTTCCATCGTTCCTCAGCCCGTGACACCGCCCAAGCTAACTGCGGCACCCATCAACAGCGCTATTCAAATGCAGCTCAGTCGAGAGCAGGCAGTTGAAGTGAAAGCACTTCGTCAAGCGTCCGACAAAGTTGCCGCAACTTTATCCACCGCTCAAGCTATTATTCCACTGTCGTTTTTGCTTGAACGCAATCTGAAGACCCTTTGTCAATCGAAAGCGGGGGCGATCATCCAAGCTGCGTTCCATACGTTCATGCTGCACTTCTACGTTGACGCATGGCAGCACTGGAAGGCATTTGTTGGGGCGTCGCGCGAAGCAGAACGAGTGGCGGCAGCGTCCCTTCTCGCCCGCGTATACCGCGGCCATCGCACTCGCAAGGCATGCATCTTTTTGAGAACTGAACTTGCCGGCCTTGACAGCATGAGAACAACCGCCATCGCTCAGATTGTTTCGCGGCGATTCAAAGCAGCCTTAATCATTCAAATGTGCTTTCGACGGCATCGATTGCATCTTCGCAAAAAGGAGGTTGCTGCCCGGCATGCCGCAGCCACGCGAATACAACGACTGGCAGTGTACAATAAGCAGCGAGCGATGGCGTTGGCGAGAATGCTCCTGGACGTGAGAAAGATCCATGGTGCGCTCATGCTTCAGAAGCTGTGGCGCGGGCACTGTGGACGCCGACTATCCGCTCGTCGAAGGGTACAAGTGCGTCTGGCCAAGCGACTCGAGAAACTTAGCCAGCCCGAGCATGCCATAGCCCATCGCTTTGAAGCCCAAGGTGCGGCATTTCGCATTCAAGGCCAAGCCCGGCGGTGGCTGCAGCGCCGACGGGGTCGAGCAGCCCGCGAAGCAATTCGTGAGGCCCGCGCCAAAGAAAAGATGCGCATGTTGCTCATACGATATATCTTGCGCTTCAAACGGCGTCAGCGACGTCGCCAGATTGCTGCAGACCACGCAATCCGAACCAAAGCTGCACGACTCATCCAGCGGTGCATTTTGCAGTGGATCCAGCGCCGCAAGTGGAAGCTGCTTCGAATGGCTCGGCGCAAGCGAGAGCGGCAAGCGCGCATGGCGCTCAAGGCCAAGCAGATGAACAGAACGCACCGCGACAATGTAAAAGTTCCGTTTCGCGCGGCTGCAACCGCGTGGAAGACGCTCACCCGCACACTTGGTGGTACCAAGACGAATACGAAGGACGTCGCGGCGATTTGCATTCAGCGGGCGTGGCGCTGTGCCAAGAAACGCCACCTAGCGTACCTCAAGACGCTGTACACCAAGCTCGACAAAGCTGCTGAGAAGCGCCAGCAATTGCACCGCCACGTGACACGAATTCAAAAGCTGTGGCGGGGACGGCGAGATCGGAAGAAATGCCGCTTTTTGTGGCTCGACAAGGTAACTCGTCATGCCTTGGCTAAGTGGAAGCGGCGGCGAGCCATCCGTCGCGACGCTGCAGCCACAATAATCCAAACCAAGGTACGCAAGCCTCCACGACAGTACTTTTGCAATAATAATGACTCGAACCATGCTGGTGCAGTTTCGCGTCATGCGGGCGAAGATCGTTTCCGAAGCCGTGGCGCATATGCTGCGACGTCAAAATGCGGCTGCAACAAGCATTCAACGGTTGGTCCGAGGTCGCCAAGCTGTTCACACGGTGCCTTAAGAGCTCGCGAAAATGTGTGCTAACCTGTGGGGATCATGCTATAGGTGCAGCGGCAGCGCGAGTACTGTCGCCGCCGCGATGAAACGATGCGGTTTTGCCATATGTGCCTTGAGCGATGCGTGAAGTTTCGCCTCGATTTCTTGGTCATTCAGTCGCTCGAAGGCAACATGGGCGACCTCGTGGTACGACCAAGTAGACTTTTTTGTCATGACGGTCCATTGCTTGGCTAGAAATACCCGCTGTGGCTGAAGGACCCAGGGCTGATCCACCGAGACGACATCTCGTTTCCCATCTTCCAGATTATGTTTGCCGATTACAGCGGAATGAAGCGAGACTTATGGGCCACTCAAACCGCCAAGTCGTTTGCTGCGTTGAGATTGGACCGGTCCAAGTTCGTCAAAGTGTTCCGCGAGGCGTTTGCATCGTCCGACCGCCTGATGGACATCACATCCGAGGCCGATCGCGTCCTGGCGAAGTTGAAAGCGCATCCGTCACAATCTCGATCGTCCCTTACGTTCCCCGATTTTGTTTTTGGCATGCAAGAAATGGCCAAACTCCAGATCAAGTCGAAGAAAGCTATCGACGACGACGCCAAGGTGCTCCATTTGTTCTGGAAGCACTTGGCTGTGTCCAAGTGGAGCAAGAAGTCTAAAGGTATGGAGGGACATCCCGGCGTACCATGTTTCCGATGGGATGTGCGTAGGGCCAGACGAAATGCGAGCATACGTGCTTGCGTGGCTGGACGATCAAGCACGGTGCATTCAGCACATGGCGCGGCGGAAGCAGTACCAGGAGCGCGGGTACATCCTCATGGACTTGAAGCGGAAAGAATGGCAGGTACGCAAGTCGTCTTGACTGGTGCATAGCACGCTGAAATCCATCTCGTTATGTTTCCATCGGGCAGGAAATGCGTGCGCAAGCTGCAGCTCGTACCATCCAATGCTTGTTCCGAACTCGAGCGTCTCGGGCGTACATGCGCAAGCTGATGCAAACGGTGAGTTGGGACTTCCTTCGATGGTGGCTACATCGACGTGGGGGACGAATAGGTCTTTCGAAAGTATATCGATGCGGCCAGCGGCTTGCCGTACTGGACAAACCCCAGGACGGGATATTCGACGTGGAAGAAGCCGTCCATTCTGGGCAAAGGCGATGTCGACAGCCCTGCGATTCCGATGGCGGATGACGCAACGGAATACGCGCTCCAGTGCGAGAACTGCAATGTTTGTGTTGCGACCCCGCGGAACGATTGTGAACGTGACGGCTGCCTGCATAGATCCATCCCGTGCAGGAAATGTGCTTCCACTGCGACGAAAAGACCTGTCTCGACTGCTTTTCGATGCTCCATGCCAAGGGCAAAATGGCGACGCATCCCCACGCCCGCATCCCCACGTGCGTGTCATGTCTGTATCAGGTACTGTGCCGCTTGCCGACACAAGATGTCAAGCGTTCCTCCAGGTCGCCACGCGATACTGCGCTGCGTGCAAAGAAAACTATTGCGACAACTGCATGGCATACCTTCATACGAAAGGCACCATGGTGGACCATGTGTATGTGCTGGCATGCTTCATTTCGTGGTGCGGTCACGTCGATGGGTGGTAGGTCGGGTCCATTGATGCTCTTGTGCGTCGATTGTCGTGGCAAGCGAGCGGTCCGAGTACACTGCCACACGTGCAACAAGGACGTCTGCAAGTCGTGTGCGCAGTTTCATCCGCCCGAGTATTGCCACACTGAAGTAGGATGCAGTGTACTACGCACCACAAATAACGGACCTTTCCTGGATAGCCCCGACCATTTGAAAGCTTTCCCGTGGAAAATGAACGACAGCGGCTCGACATGATCAGAGCCAACGAGATATTCGCCGAGAACAAGCGCCTCCAAGATGCCAACGATCTCGAAGCGCTCCAAATCAAGTGTGCCATGCGCATTCAACGTGGCTGGCGTCGCAAAGTAGACCACAACTCCACCGCGAATCTCACCCATCGCTTGGTTCTTAGGTCAACTGCACGAGTGGAATGATGCAATTGATAGAGCTGCACAAAGCACAGCAAACCAATTGGGAAAAAGTCAAACGAGATCGAAACGTACTCCAGCTTGTCCAAAAAATCACGTTGACATCCATCCTTTCTGACTCCTTCGTCGTAGCGGGAGCGGCAGGTCGTGTACCGCGTGAAAGGATTGTTTGGGAAAGCCGAAGCCCTCGAAACAGACACCCCCACGCAAAAGATTCTGCGGCGACTAAACATCTTTACTCGCCATCAGATTGAAGCTCGAGCGCATGCGCTAAACATCGCCGTCGATGAATATGTCCACTTGGGAGTTCTCTTACCGGGGGTTGCGTCGGTTGCCGAGGTACGACCAGTGCTCGGCCATGGAAGTACTCATCGTGCGGGCGGGTGTGCAGGGGAGTGATCAAATCGAGACGAGCGAAGACTTGCGAGGGTGGCTTGTTCCGGCCCAAGCCCTTCGGTGCGTGAGCTGCGGCTGGCTCGGTTGAACGTCCGCGATGTTTGCAGGATTCAAGGGCATGTTGTATACGCACAAGTTGTGGAATCGATCGGGGAAACCTTCGTCCAACTCAGTGCGCCATTCAACCATCCGAGTGTCGTAAAGAGCCCGTTGTACTCGGTCGAGTTTTCGCTGGATCACCCAACAAAGCTCAAACACGTCGCGTACGACCGACGGATCATATGGACGGGACCGATGAAATGAATGGCTGTAGTAGCGCGCATGCCGTCAAAGTACGCAACTTCAAGGAATGCAAAGCCGTGACGAACTCACGTACGCGCACGACAGCTTGGAACGGTTCGAACTCTTTTTGTAGTTCGTCACGTCGGGAAAGCAGCGCAGTCGCTGTCCCACCGCTTCGACGAAGACTCGTTCCTAGGCCGCGTGCTGACGGGGACAGCGCAGCGTATCCAAAAGTCGCTTCAGCGCCAGAAATTCAACCAGTCCAAGCGAGAGCGGGAGATTTCAATGCTGAGCATGCAACGGTCGTCCCGTGACCGGCACGTGCATTCCCTGCGACGAGAGCAATCGCAACGGTGGGAGGAAGAGACGACGCAACGGCGGGCATCCATTCGACGCACCGAGTCCGCGGGATGGACAGCACAACCTGTTTCGGCATCGGGACCCTCCATCGACACTGGAATACGTGATTCAAGCCCCCTACCGCCCCCCGCGACTGATACACATCCTGCCAGTCCCGTCTCGGCCGCAGATGGTCCAGCATTCGCAGCTTTGACGGAGTTCATGCCTCCAAGCTCTTCTGTACATCTCGACGAGGTGGCATCCTATCCCGCCATGACGCCATCCATTCCGATTGAAACCAACACGGATGGAAGATATCCACTCAAAGATGGCACACCCATGGATGCAACTAGCCAAACACCTCTAAAAGATTCGCCACTCCATGCGGAATCAACCGCCGCACCAAGCAACCACGTCGACCTCGCCTCCACGTACCTAGATGGCCCTTCGTCGTACAGTCCTTCCGCCGCCGCGAGCAATGACGTGTCGGCACCGCCACATGAACTCTCGACGGACACCATGGCAATGTATGGCACCCAACAACCTGACTCGGGTACACTTGCTACCACAGAGTCTGTTTCGTACAGCTACCCACAGACATACGACGACACAGCTTATGCCTCGCAGAGCTATGCCCACTACCAGCAGTCTTGGGACCCGTACGCTCCAGGAGCCGGCGACGACCTGTTATGTGCATCACCTATTGACCCCCCTCAAGGCAACGATGAATTGGATTACGCCCAATACAGCTATGATCCTGGCCAAGGCTACACTAACGACGAGCACCAAGGCTATGAGCTACAAGACGGCTACCAGGCGTACTATGACAGCTACGACCAGGCGTACGATCAGCAGAGCTATTCCTATCAGCCTGACAACATGGAGCCGTACGACCGAACCGACGCATACGCAGAGGACCCCGCAGCACCGGTCGACAGCGACTGGCAAGAAGCGCACGATCCTGCGTCCGGACTGGTGTACTATTATAATTCGCGCACGGGCGAGTCGGTGTGGCAGACATGACTTTTCTCGGCATGCCCACACGTTTAAAATTAGATGATTTTACTTGCGCCCTCGCTTTTGAATCGCTTTGCCTCGCGAGACTTTGCCAGGTCGCGACTTGGCGCCGGCGGGCTTCTTCCCGCCGCCTCGTTTGCCCACGCCTTCGTTGTTGCGGCTACGGCTGAACGACGAAAAGTCATTCGTGCTCTTCTTGTCATTCTTTTTATGCGTAAACTTGGTCTTGCCACCCGACCCGTACTTCTTGTTGTGAGCTTCGCGCTTAAAGTTCTTCTTGCCACGACCGCCCTTGTCGGCGGCGTCGCGCGGACGCTTGTTGCTGCCCGCACCTTCCAGCATCTTTTCAAAGCTCTCGTCATCGTCAACACCGCCGACAGCCGACGCTGCGTTGGTATTTTTCCGCTTCTTCCACTGCTTGACTGCTTCCAACGTGTCGTTCTTTTCCTTGAGACGCTTCTTGGCCTTTTGCGACTGCAGCTCCTTCGCCACCTTCTTGTGTGCCTGGGATTTCTTGCGCTCCTCGACTGCATTCATCTTCTTTTGTTCGAAGATCAACTTGTCCTTGACACGGGCCATGTGTGCGTCGCTCTTGAGCATTTCGGCAAAGTAATCATCCGGGCGCTTGTACGGAATATTCTCCTTGAGCAGGCGCTCCTTTGCATCCTTCACGGACGCCAGCGTTTGGTTGTAGAATGCGACTTCGCGTTTCAGGTCGTCGTGCGCATTCTCGAGTTCGAGCACGTGCGACGAAGTGTCGAGGGTTTCGACCCACTTGAACTTTGAGCTCAAGTCAAGCTCTTTGGCAAGTTTCACCATCGCGTCTTTGTTGTAGATGGTCGTCGTGTTGGCTTTCTTCTTCTCCGCTTGCATCTCCTCGACTAAGCGGCGTTCGATCTCTGCTTCGTCATCGTCTTCGTCCTCTTCCTCGTCGTCGTCGTCGCTGTGTTTGCCGTCCGGACGAGCCGACATGACGGGGGTGTTGAGGATTTCAACCTCTGTGGCATCTTCTACATTGACCAACGAGGACACGCTCCGTCCAACTACCGCGAGTTGGTCCTTCTTCTGGCCGCCGCGCTTGCTTCCTTTGCCCATCGCCGTGTTGAATCCAATTTTGGTGAGTTCAACTCAAGCCGTCGCACCAACCATTCGCCCGACCAAACGATCTACGTTGTTGAATGGTCACTTAATGGCCAATCAAATCGTCGGTATTCTTTCTTTTCATCCAATCAAATATCCTTTTACACACACGAGATGGGGCAATTTGCATTGTTGGACTTATTGTTAGCTGGGGGCAACATGTAACTCTGACTGGGGGCGACGACCACCGAGGGGTCTCGGGGCCATCGTTCTTCCAGCTATCGTCAAGAGGGGTCTTGCCTGAAAGGTGTCGAGGTCGTCATGGTGACGGCTTGGACGTTGGTTGAAATATCCATCGTCCACACAACCCGACAATTTGGCGGTGTGTCCCCTGGCATAGCTCTCCAAAGTGGCATCTTTCCAGCGGGAAATCGTTCGGCATGCCGTTCCCTGCTCCAATGGACAACACATTGTCGAGTAAATAAGCCACGTGTGGCAGTTAAAACGTTTGCAATTCCAGTAGTTCTTCGGCATGGCGCGATTCAATGCGCCGGATTTCGTCTTCGCACTCGTCGATTTGCTCCTGCAACTTTTCGCACAGACTCTCGAAGTGCAACTTTTCTACAGCCACACGCGAGAGGTGTCACACAGCATCGTCGCATCACGTACCTTGTGTCACCTTCTGCGTTGTGTCCAACGATGCTTTCAACTCCGCCCGCACATCGGCGAGCTTCACCTCGTACGAGGCCTTCATGCTGTCCAGCTGTTTATTGAGCTCGTGGGCAAGCTCCCGGCGCAACTGCATTTCCTGCTGGACATACTCGGCGTCTTTGGTCAGCAATTCGTCTTTCAACTGGTCAATCTCGTCGCGAAGTATTTGAATGTCATGCTCCTAGCCACAAAAATAATGCTTCCATCCCAGCTCTCATGGGAATACCGTGATGCGCTTCTTTGAGACAGGCCTAACTACAGCGAGGGACGCCCTCGCCTTTGCCCGTGCATTCAACGTAGTTGTTGTTGGTGCAGATTCAACTTCTTTCCCGCTGCTTTCTCGTGTCGAAGCCGGCACGGGAATTCGTTGGATGGAGGTGCGGCTTCGAATCGATCCTCGCTCTTTTATCATAGGCAGATAAGTTGCCTCTGTCTTGGTACGACTCGCACCATCTTTCGACGGCATGGAAGGTCGTTTGCGCTTCTTGTGACCGTCCGTGCCATATTCAGTTTTCACTTGCACCGGTCTACAATGCGAATCAAGGACTGGCCATGGCGCACAACCTACCGTCGGGACAAGAGAGTTTTCGAAGGCGCTGTTACAACTTCTTTTGCAATTGCACTGTACTGCAGTGTCCGCAACGTCTCGTCAAATTCGTCCGTCGACGGGTTCACGGTCACTATCATAATGATGCGTCCGGCTTGTTTACACACGAACGACGCTTGAAAGAGCTAGGTTCATCGCTCAGAAGTCGAACAACTGCTTTCTGGCATCTATACCCGAGTGAGTTTGGACGAGCGAAAGGGTACAGGTCGCTCCGACTTGGGATGGAGCTGGTTGAAGCGCAGCGTTTCCAAGCATCGGTTCAAGTTCATGAGGGACCCGTTGATTTTGCTGGCTTCTTGCAGTCGTAGTCCGGACGCCCCGGTCTTGGCGCCGCGTTCGCAGCCTGCCAAATCGACGATCGATATCTGACGGACGCGATGAGGCAAGGAAGGTTTTTTTTTGGCACAGCACCTTGCTGAACAGCGTGGTCGGGTGTTCGTTGTGATATAGCTGAAGGGAAAATACACAGTGGCTGCGACTCGAGTCGGTATTGCATTTGGTCTCGCCGACCTGGCGATTCTTTTGACCACATTCCAAGAGCATCTTGGCTTCCTCAAACGACTTGATTGGGCGCTCTTCCAAATCCTTGACGTACACTCGGCCGTCCTTTTCGAGCAGATGAAGGAATATTCGCCTGAAAGCGAGAATTCAGCCGCTGACTGGATTCCCTTCGCAAGGATGCCATACCTTTGACAATTCGTGAGCAAGTCGAAAACTTTTTCGTTATAAATTTCCAAGTACGAAGCTGTGATACGAAACTTGTCTGCCTTTTTGAACAATGTCAGGAGCGTCTCCGGCAAGATGCCGGGATGTTCGGGTGTTCCTATCCAACCCATGGCATCCCCAGTTCAACATGGACGACTCATGTACCCAAAATCGTGTAGGTCTTTCCCGAGTTGGTGACGCCGTATGCGAATACGAGGCCGTTTTTGCCTTCCAGCGCCTCGTCCACGATGGCATACGTAGTTTGATCGAACAGATCGCGCTGAGTTGTTTCTGGCCTGAACACTTGGGAAAAGTGAAATGTGCTCACAGACTCCGTGACGCGACTGGTCTACAATACACATTCAGCGCCAGCCATCGTAGCATGTCATGGTACCTTGGGTGGATGGGCAACGAGACAAGTATCTGACAGAACGCGAAACGTTTCGTGGTCGACTTCTCCTGTGGGTGGCCGCAGGCGAACATAGATCTACATACCAGCACATGAATACAAACAGTCCTAGCCTTCGTACACAAACTTGAACTTTGTCTCCAGGCTTGGAAACTGGAAGCGCCGCACTGTAGCTCAGCTTTCTTTGGATGTCCTGCTCTTCTGCCGTCGCGGACATGAGCACCGCCGTCACTGGATTTGAATTTTGAATCATGTGATATCCGGTTGCCAGACAAATTATCCGGTCATGAAGAATCCGGAAGGGTGTTTTTTATCCGGATGTGCAGTTTGGCGCCGACTTGACCCGCCGCCACCATGGACGACGAAGAGTATGACGAATGGGAACTCATGTACGGGAATGACATGGAAGCTGAGAATGAGATGAATGCGATGGAAAGAGCATTGTCTACGCCTGCTGCTCCTGCACCCAAACCCGCAACAGCCCTCGTGACCCCATCGACGACTTTTGTACAAAACCGTGATGCGGTTCAAATTGTTGCAATGGAGTCTTCAGAGATGGAAGTTAACAACGACATGCCAATAACATCAAGTATGGACAATCGTTTCGTCCTCCAACGACCATCGCTCGACACGCCGAGCATTGCGTGCGTGTTAGCGTCCGGGGAACGCGTTTTCATCAAGAAGAAGGTGCACGAATTTGGTTTCGAAAAAACAGCGTCGCAAAGTAAAAGCCCGCCGCAATGGAAGCTCAAATCATCAATCAAGACTCTCCTTGAGTACATTAACAAGGTTGCATTGTCATGATCGACGGTATAGATCGCTGACTATGGACTACTCACTAGCGCGCCATCGACGCCGCCGTGGAGGAAGATCGATGTCGCGAAAAGGAACAAACCAAGTCAACTTCTGTGGAATCTATCAAGGAGTCGGATCTTTGGCTGAACAAGTACAGTCCTCGGCACTTCATCGACCTGTTGAGCGACGAACGCACGAATCGCGAAGTTCTGACGTGGCTCAAGTCATGGGATCCCGTCGTGTTTCCGTCCAAAGCGACGGAGAAGCTGTCGTCAAAGATTCTGTCGGAGTCAAAGAATGCACAAGATATTCGACCAGAGCACAAAGTATCGTCGAAACGCCTTCACGAATTCACACTGCCTGTTCCATCTAGATTATCTTAATCTGTGGTCCACCGGGGGCCGGGAAGACTACCTTGGCCAGCATAGCAGCCCGCCATGCTGGGTACAATCCCATTGAAGTCAATGCAAGCGATGATCGAACGGCGGGAGTTCTTCGGGACAAGGTGCAGTTTCCATTGTTCATCACCCCTATATCGTTCAGTCGTCGAGTAGATCATCAACGCCATGGAAATGCAAGCCATATTCGGCAACAACCGGCCGAATTGCATCATTTTGGATGAAATCGACGGGGCAATGGCCGGTCAAGAGGGCAAGGGCGCCATTGCGGCGTTGCAGGCGCTGATTGCGGCCCCATACACACCACCGTCCATCAAGAAGGTGGCAACAAAGCAAAGGTCAGCCGGCGGACATCCCGTCATCCGCCCCATCATATGCATTTGCAACGATCAGTTCGCGCCAGTATTGCGGCCGCTGCGCAAACTCGCCAAGATCTTCGTCATGCACACGCCGGACTCGCGTCAGCTCGTGCAGCGGATGAAGTATATTTGCCACCAGGAAAGGGTCCAAGCGTCCAACTCGCTCTTGTCGACCCTGTGTGAGCGCGCCGACAACGACGTGCGATTTTGTCTGAATGCGCTGCAGTTTGCAAGCGCGCAGACGTCGGTGCTAACACTGTCGATGATCGACTCCATGATGGTACGCTGGCTCATTGTAGTCATGACATTTGACCCGAGCCATAGGGTCGAAAAGACCTGTCCAAGGGGGCGTACGACGTGTGGGAGACAGTGTTCTTCGAAACCAAGGACCAACAAAAGGACAAATCAACAGCGTTTGCTCGTGTTTTTGACGCGGCCGATCGGTTCGGCAGTCAGGAACTCATCCTGAATGGACTGCATGACAATCTCTTGCCCCTCGTCTTCAACGATCCAACATTGTAAAGCCCAACATTTGTTGTCCTGCATGCAATGACAATCTCAAACTAGTTTTCCCAACTTAGGACCAAAGTGAACCACGCCCTCGAGTGGATGGAATTCGCAGACCTGTGTGACACGCGCGTCAAGTCACACCAGCAATTTGCGCTTACGCCATACTGTTCGATCGCTGCAGTCGCCGTATATCGTGCGTGCTGCACGGGCTCTCGCCGCCGCATTGAGTACCCAAAGTCCAATTCCGACGTATGTGTTCCTCTTGCGCTCAAGCATGTTGACGCGTGTGATTGTGGTCGTGTTTGTTGTTTTGTAGTATCGCAAACAAGTGGAGATATCACACAGCATCTTGGACGCTTTCATTGGCAGTGGGTCAGCTCTGCGCGTGGGTAGTCGAGTGCTGGCCGTGGATGTCGTGCCAAGTGTGGTCGCGATGCTGAATCCCCCAATCAACTCATCAAAACAGGACAAACAGTCCATGGATCGCCTCGTGGCGCTTATGTCGTCACTGCAATTGTCATACAAGCAGATACAATTGCCGGGCGGAGTTGTCGACTACATATTGGAGCCGTACGTGAAGAACCTTGCAATTTACTCTGCCTTGCATGGATCACTTCTTGATGAACGATGGTGGACGGTTTGTAGATCGTTGGACAGGCTGGTTCACTACAAAGGGCTGGAGAATCGCCTTCGATTACCCCTCGGAATTCGCCAAACGATGGCAAGGGAAGTGGAGCTCGAAAATATGCGTCGTGCGGACAAGGGAACCCGTCCAGTACTCGATGACTCGACTGCCACATACATCCCTGGCGTGGAAATCGCACAAGATATCGACGTGTCGGCTCCTGGTAAGTGACACCATGCTCATCTATGTCTGGACGATGTAAGAACGTACGTGTTGCAGATGCATCCAACCCGTTTGGTCTGAAGAAACGGAAGCGTGAGGACCAATCGACTGCCAACGCCAAACGGTAAACGTTCTGATATCTGGGATGTGCTGCATGGCGCTTGCTTGGTAGGTGGCCCGTGCGGTTCAAGTTCAACGAAGGATTCACCAGCGGCATCAAACGGCCTGTGCTCGTCCAAGATTTATTGTAACTTTAAGGTTGCCGGTACCAAAATAAAGAATTGCTTCGCAAGTGAGATTCCACCGTTGTCGGCGCGACATGATGAGAACGGATGGGCCATAATGAAACCAAGGCATCGCGCTGTTGCGTGTAACTGCCCCACGTTTCGAGCGTTTCGACACTTCGACATCGCCGGGGTCGAAAAATCTTTGAAGCGTCGTTGTGTCTGGATGGGGAAATCCACCGATGGCGGAGTAGTTCCTTTGAAGCAAAAGCAACTCCAGAAACAATTCACAGGTCACCTTACGTATCGATGGATTGATGGCTGAGTATCGCCGACGCAGATACGTACCAAGAAATTCAAGCTCTCAAAGAAGTGCTCAAGGTGCTGCTACAACTTAGGACTCGGCTGACATGGACATCAGGGCTACCTTCACAAGACGCCGAGCTCAGCAGCGCCAACGCTTGATTCCTTATCGATCCGTGCTGCAGGAGGAACGACCAACCAAGATGAATGTTCAATTGACAATGCGCCACAGCCGGTCATTTCTTCGATGTTCAGACCCTCCAAGGAATCCGAGCGGATTCTCGCCAACAGCGAGCAAGGCAACATGCCGTTTCTTGAGCGCGTGAAGCTGCATGTGGATAAACACGAACAATCGACCAAGTTGTTGAAGCGGCAAGTGCAGGCAGTCGAGGACGTCGAAACAACATTTTCCCCCAATATCAACCTCGTACGTGAGGACATACTGAAGTATGCCTTATCACTTACATGCAACCCAGAAGTCCAAGCGCATGGAGCGACGAATCGACCACTTGTGGTCGTGGCAGCGCGAAAAACAAAACAAATTGGAAGCACGCAGGATTGCCGCCGAGGAGAAAGAGCTGAGTCAAGTTCAACCTGTTCCAATCTGCAGCGCCAAATCTAGCCAAATGCTGCTGCGGTGGTCGACCAACAACAGGAGCAACAACGTTCGGCCAGACAGAGTCGAAGACAGGTGTCACATGAAACTAAAGTTCTCAAACGACCCTCCTCATCACGCTTTCCTCATGCAGGCTGCATCGATATGGAGAGACGATCTGTGCCAAACGACGTGCGAGGCGACGGGAGTCTCATTGCCCTTTCCAACCCACTCTTTCGTCTCATTCGGCTCAGCTCCACCGCAACGGAGATGTACACACTCGTCTGTTTAACCTCGCTGCCAAGAAACCTCCACCAGACCCACCCGTCGTCGTCACAACAAAACACCCTTCCATCGCACCACTGGACCCACACACATCACAGCTATGCAGCCGACTGCACAACGAAGCAAATGCACACCAAGAAAAGCTGGAACAGATCCGTGCAGCTGAAGCAAGACACTTGACTCAGCTGCAGGTACTGTTGTACTCCAAATGTCGTTGAATCGATAGTAGCGAGATGGGCAGTCTTTGTGACAGATGAGGACCTTGTATCTAGAATGCCCCGAAGATCAGCGCCACGAGCTCAAGGTTGGCCCGCAACGTGAGTGTTCGAAAGCCGTCGCCCTCACCAGCGTCCCAGAACCAGCAAACACAAAAGAAACGCGTGATACCCGCCAAGGAAGCGGAGAAAGTATACCTCAAGCAAGTCCAGTGGAAACAGCAAAAAGAGGCAAGAGCGTCGCAGGAGCGGGAAGTACAACTCCAGCTCGAGATTGCAGAATGCACGTTCGCCAACCCGTATCGGCCTGAAGAGGACTCGCCCGTCAAGGGCAACGACATGTACTTTCGCAAGGCTATGGAGTGGGAGCGGCGGCGTCAGCAACTTGTGAGCGAAAAACAGCAGCGTCTGCTCGTAGAAAAGCTCAAGGACTGTACGTTCCACCCGCACACAAACCCTGCTCCAAATGAAGAGCTGGCGAAAAAGCAACCCACGCTGGACTCGATCTTGTCCAAGTTTCGTGCTGTACGACCCAGCGCCTTTCCAACTTGCCATGTTGATGCATTTCATCGTGTAGGAGCAACGTGACAACTGCCTGCGAACCCCTCCCAAACACCAAGAATGGAACCCGAACCGAGCACTTCGAGCCAGGTACGCAGCATCTACGCCTCGCATGTCTAGCTCACGCAGTCCTCGCCCTGTCCAGTCGAAATTGTTTGCGCATCTCGGCAGGAGAAGATGCCAGGATTTTGCCATATCCGTGGGAGGAGTATGTCACGGAAGACGGGTATTTGTACTACGTGAATACGTTGACGCGGGAGTCGCAGTGGGAATTTCCATAACCAAGATCGACGCATTCATGAGGCAGGGTGAATTTACTTCATTGCGTTCACACAAATAAAAGGAAAGGCGAGGGGCGATTATACCTTGCACGGCGCGACCGTATTGAGGCCAAGCCCACGGATCGTCTGGATGAACGCTGTTTCGAACGGCATGAGCTGCACCTCGGTTTGCTTGAGCGACAGCACTTGCTGCATCACGTCAATGTACTTAAGCGCCAGCAGATACCGGAGGGGGTTTTCGCCCGACCGCGACACGACTTTCGAGATCTACCACATGATCCCGATCAAACTCCAACTATAGATAGATACACGATATACAGACTTCCTTGATGCTTCGGGCTTCGGCCGTGGCTGCGTTCACGATCGCCTGCGCCTCACCGCGCGCTGTAAACAACACATCAGTCCGGCACATCGTTTGGCTCCACCGACGTACCGCGCGAGAGCGCTTGCTGGGCTTCACCTTCCGATTCTTTGATCATGCGGTCGCGGTTCCCTTCAGAATTGATGACGGTCGTTTGCTTCATGGCTTTGGCTTGGATAATAATCTATAATGGCGAGATGAGGGACGGCGTTGCGATGGATGAATGAATTGGACAAGGTTTGCCTAGCAAACGCACCTCTTTGTTGTTCAAGTCAGCCTGCTTCTTCTTCGCCAGCACTTGGCTCAACGGCCCCGCATCCACGCGTTGGATCTTGACCATAGCAATCTTCACGCCATACTGAACGGCGGCGGCATCCATCAAGCCGGACACGCGGTCCATTTGCGCCGTGTCTTCGATAATTTGATCAACGTCCAGCGAGCCCGCGACATTACGAATCTGGGCTTGGAGGAGCACGCTCAATAGATGCGGCAAGTTCTTGACAGTGTAGATGTATGTCTTGGGGCTCGTGATTGAATACTGGAGCACCGCATCGAGGAAGATGGCAGCGTTGTCGCGGGTGATCACTGGTTGCTTGGGGAAGTCGAGCACTTCGTTCTGCGTCGAGATCGTAATGATCTTGGGTCGGTCGACAAGTGTCAAGCGCTCACCGACGTTCACCACGTATTTTTGAGTGTGTTCACGAGGCTGGTCGATGAACGGAATGATGAAGTGGCAACCAGGCGATAGTGTTGTCTTGAAGTGACCAAGACGTTCGATCACCATCACTTCCTTCTCCTTGATGATCCGGATTCCTTTCAAAGCCGTGACGAGGATAAAGATCGCCACGACTATTGCCACGATAACGCCTACTGTTCCTGAGTCCGCCATGCTGATGCTGCCGCGCCAGCTCGGCCTTCCCGACGTTGGATTGGTTTTGTCTCCTGCGCTTAGCAACTATTCACAGCAGTTCAACCTTGATTTTTGTATAGATATACTAAAGTAAAGTACGAAAAAGTGTAGGTCCATCTAGGGCTCTTGGGAACCTCTTGGATTCGGGTACTGCTCAGTTGTGTCATTTTCGGCACTATCAAAACTTTCACTAAAAGTTGTTTCGATTTGTACATTAATTTTCGGAAAATCTCAAGAATTTCTGCTTGTTTTTCGAATTTTTCGCTCTTCTCCTCCTGAACGAGAATTGAACACTGTACGTACAATTTTCTCTGTACGTAAAGTACAGATTCTGTGGAACTTGTGTGTGGCCAACGGCGACCTCATCATGGCAACAGAAATCGCGCTCACGACCGCTGTGGACGACGCCACTGCCCGGAGTAAAATTACATGGAGCGTGCAGCGAGCTCGAGAACTCTTCGCGGGGGAACCGCTTAGCTTTGAGACACATGAAAGCAGCCAGAAGACGCAAATACAAGTGAAATTCCGCGCCCGATATTCCGACCTTCCCGACATCCAGCCGAGTCAGTTGAAGAAGTCAAAGCTGGACACCGTGGCGCCCGTGCCTGTAGTGAACCCTTCGTTGGAAGATGAGGACGAAGTCGTGGAAGGCCACGTTTCGAAAGATCCCGTGGATTCGCTGCCAAGCGCTGTGGAGAACGCCGTGGCGCAGTTTTCCAAGCAAAAGGAAGCAGCAGCTGCTGCGTCCAACTCGAGCCAACAAGCCCTGGTTGAGTACAAGAAGGAAACAACGTTCAAGGCCCAATTCCAAGCGTCGTCGGCGCTTGTCCGTCGTCGCCAAGCTGCAGAGGTTCCCAAGCCCACCTGGCATGCACCATGGAAACTCAAGCGCGTGATTGCTGGTCATTTGGGCTGGGTGCGCTCGATTGCCGTGGACCCTACGAACCAGTGGTTTGTGACAGGGTCGGCGGATCGCACGATCAAGGTGTGGGATTTGGCAAGCGGTCAGCTCAAGCTGACGCTGACAGGGCACATCAACGCGATCCGTGGGCTAGCCGTGAGCGACCGGCATCCTTACATGTTTTCCGCCTCCGAAGACAAGAAGGTGTTGTGCTGGGACTTGGAATACAACAAAGTGATTCGAAGCTACCACGGGCACCTGAGCGGTGTGTTCAGCCTGAAGCTGCACCCAACGCTAGATGTGCTAATCACGGGTGGGCGTGACGCGGTGGCGCGCGTCTGGGACATGCGGACCAAGCAGCAGGTGCATGTGCTGTCGGGCCATCAGGGCAGTGTGTGGGCCATCGAGACCCAAGGCACAGATCCTCAGGTCGTCACTGGCGCTGCCGATAGCACGGTCAAGCTGTGGGACTTGGCGGCTGGCAAAGTGATGACGACCTTGACGAATCACAAGAAGGGAGTGCGTGCGATGGCAGCGTCTCGCACAGACCACACTTTCTTGACTGGTGCCGCCGACAACTTGAAGAAGTGGCAGCACAAGGACGGCAAGTTTTTGCGAAATTTTTCCGGCCACAACGCGATAGTGAACGCCGTGTCGGTGAACCAAGACAACGTGCTCGTGTCGAGCGCAGACAACGGGTCCATGCGATTCTGGGACTACACGACGGGCTACTGCTTCCACGAGGAAGAGACAATTGTCCAGCCAGGATCGCTCGACAGCGAGGCGGGGGTGTTTGCATCGACGTTCGACATGACGGGCCTCCGCTTCATCACGACTGAAGCCGACAAGACGATTAAGGTGTGGGAAGAAAACCCCGACGCTACCCCCGAGACCCATCCCATCGACATGGTCAAGTGGACCAAGGAGTTTACTGCCCCCAAGCGCTATTAATACTATAATCATCTCCCGTTCGCTAGCACTTGTGTGCTGTCGCACGCAAGGCCTTCAAATGCAGCTCGATTCTGCTCCGTTTCCTTCGCTACACCTGCACGACGGGCCTCTGGGGACTGGGCTTCCTAAGGCAAATAGAATAGGAGTAAATATTTTTCGAAAGTGATTATATGTAGACAAAGCAATTCCACTGAGAGTATATTTTTGGTATAATTACATTTAAGGTATAATTAAGGGGTATTTCTGGGAGGAGTCATGATGCTGCCTGTCGCGGAGATATCCCTGTTTGTTTGTGTCATTGTGACGTCGATTCCTCCGTTGCGGGACGTCGCCATGGACTCCACCCCATTGTTACGCCACACACAAGACTCGTACTTCCCACGATTTCATGCGGATCGAGCGCAGCCACTTCTTGTATCTCTATGTATGAAATGATACAAGAGCATTGTTTTGCCCAGTATAAAACTCAAATGCGTTAAACTCCTTCGACATGCTCAGTAGGGGAAGCAGAAGTAGGGCCGATGCACTCATCGTGTTTGAGGTACGAGTCACATGGACTAGTAACACGCTCTATTTCCCAGGAGATCGTGCCGAACATGACAAGTCTCGCGCAGACTGCATCATAGCCTCCAACGCTGGCACGGTTGCATGCCAACGTTTAACGTGCGTGCTACGTCCATGTGGAGAATGATGTTTAAACATTTGACGTTCAAAAACCAACTCACAGGCAAACCTCAAGTCGATACTGACATGACAGGCTCAACCTTCCGCCTTCGAGTCCGCAACGCCAAGCAGCTCGTGCAAGTGTGCAGCAACAACGAACGAGTCAAGTGTGGCGCGGACCAAGACAGCGTCGCGATCATTGAAGACGGCGCGCTGGTTGTCGATGCGGACGGAAAGTTTGCCTTTGTCGGCACCACTGCCGCCGCCGACGCTTGGATTCAGGCTCAGCCGCAGCCCGTCACGTTTGAAAACGACTTTGACGCAACGGGAATGTGCATTCTTCCTGGTCTTGTGGACGGTCACACTCATCCCGTGTGGAGCGGCAGTCGAGTGGACGAGTTCGCACTCAAATTGGCCGGGGCATCATATATGCAAGTCCATGCGATGGGAGGCGGCATCAACAGCACTGTGCGATCGACCCGCGCATCGTCCGAAGCCGAATTGTTGGGTCTTCTCAAGAAACGACTGGACCGCATGCTTAAATGCGGCACGACCGTCGTGGAGGCCAAGAGCGGGTATGGGCTAGAGACCGAGACCGAGATCAAGATGCTACGTGTGCTCGAAAAGGCGTCCAAGTTCCACCCGATCGACGTCGTGGCCACCTACTTGGGCGGCCACTCGGTGCCCGACGGCATGACCGCCGCCGAGGCTACGTTGGACATTGTGCAGAACCAAATCCCTGCACTCCTCCGCGCGCAGGCTGCTGGCGAGATCAACCCGACCTTCATGTAAGTGTCCATGGTGCTCTCCTTCCCCGAACGAAAACCTCATCTGCATGAAACGCAGCGATGTCTTTTGCGAGAAGGGTGTGTTCGAGTACAACGACACCAAGACAATCCTGCAGGCCGGCAAAGATGCCGGCCTAAAAATTAACTTCCACGGCGATGAACTGCACCCCATGAACTCAGGCGCGCTATGCAACTGTCTCCAAGCGCACGCCGCGTCCCATTTGGAAATGTTGGACTCTGCCAATGTCCAAGCGATGGCGGAGGTCGGCACGATCGCAGTCTTGCTCCCCACTACCATGTACATCCTAAAGCTCCCGAGCCCCCCCGCGCGAGAACTTATCTCGACCAACGTGGCCGTCGCTCTCGGGTCCGATTACAATCCGAACGCGCATTGTCTGTCGATGCCACTGACGATGCACATGGCGTGCTGCCTCATGAAGATGACGATGAAGGAAGCGCTCGTTGGTGCCACGATCAACGCTGCTGCGTCCGTCGACCGAGCCGACACCCACGGCAGTATTGAAGTCGGGAAGCACGCCGACTTGCTTGTCTTGGACGCGCCACAATGGGAGCACTTGATTTACGAAATGGTCGACCCTCCCATTCAACACGTCGTCAAGAATGGCCGCTTCGTCGTCTCGGACGGTCGCTTCGTCGCTTAGTGTGATACAACGAAATCCAGTACTCGAGTCGCATGTCGGCCGTGCTGAAGTTGCAGTGGCCATGGCCAACTGCTCGGTCGCACGTCGTTCGCGCTGCAGGCGCTGTGTTTGCTCGACAGGAATGGTGGAGCCGACATGATGGGGGCAGCCACGGTAGAGACCGCCGTGAGTCGACGGGTGTCCGAGGATATCGTGACGGCGGTGGCCTGTGGAGGCAGCGCGACGATGTTGCGATGTCCAACTGGTGTTTTGTGAAAGCAAGTGCGGCGGCTTCAGTTGGCGGCACAGCGCCGGGGGCTGGCCGAGCCGATCTCACTTGCACTCACACATTCGACATGAATAGTTGCAATTCACCGACGTTCCAAAGCGATGTGGGAGAGGAAGTGACGAACTGCGGCGCAACATCGTCCGCCACGCACACCATGAAAGCATTGCCTCCATGCTCCTCAAGCCAGGATGTGGTCCAAGGCTTCAACGACAGTGCCAGCAGATGCTCGTGAAGCTCCGGCTCGCATGGTTTTGGAGTGGCGTTGGAATCCACTGTGGCGTCGATGCAACTTGAGGGAATTGTCTTGGACGTGTGAGCCTGTACATGTGGACGCATCTCGCAAGCCACTTGCGGCAGACGACGTACTTCGCCGATGAGGTCAGCTCTGCTGACTGTATCGGTCGATCTGAGCGACACTCCGCGCTGTGATAAACAGTCCTACGGCGCTAAGAATGGGTTCATTCGATGGGGAGTACATGGCTCCCTTCATTATTGCCCTCATGGACATCAAGCTTCAACTCATCATGTCGTATTCGAATTGTTTCGTTAGAGACTGGTGTAACGCGACTTGGGCTCCACGTTGTAGTTTCGAATGTTGGCTTGGAGTTGAAGCCCCGCGCCCAGTTTGTAGTGTTTGTCGTGGGCCGTCAAGAGCTTCTTGTCATCGATTTTGTCGAGCTGCGTGATGGCAAACGCTGCGTCAAGAGCGCTGAGAAATCCCCGGTTGATTCCAAGTCCTTGGGGCCAAAATGGCTCTAGCAAGGCGTCGCCCACTAGCGCCGCGAATAACTTGTGCGTAGGATGGGGCAGCACGACCGCAGCCTATACACGCAAAAGGTAGCTGGGCACGACGACGCCTTCAACGGTACCTTTTCGGCCCGAAGCGTCTGGCTAAAGTCAAACAGCTGCGCGTCGAGACCGTCCGTGGGCGCCGAGATGCGAAAAAACGCGAGCACTTTCCGCACATAGTCGTGCAGCCTGCCGACGTCGACCGAGTCCAGTTCCTTCGTTGCGAGAATGCCCGCATTCACCAAACTCGATCGCTTCGGGGTCATGACCACATAATGCACTTCCTCTCGGTAGTACACAACGTTTTCGACGTCTACGCCCAGGTCGTCCTTGAGCTGGGCAAACAGCGACTGGTTGTACTGTTTTGCCCATGAAAACTCGTCGACCGCCGACTCAGCTCTACGACAGCCAGTGAGTCACCAAAGTGAACGGAGCCATGGATCCAACTTGGTGCGCAAGTTGGGAATGGTCACGACGGCGCCGACCGCTGGACTTGGGGAAAACGCCTTGCGCGTGATGCCCATGAACGGGCTGAGCGGATCGCGGTGGCCTCCCGCCCCAACGACGGCACTCACTTGCTCGCACTCGTGCGGAAGGGGCGGCACTGTGTGAACAACGTATCCTTCGCTCGTTGCGGCGATCGATTCAAACGACGTGTTGTCAAATACTAACGAGACCACCACTGACACACGATGAAGAGGAAGCGTGTTGTCTGTACCCGTGACCCCCAACAGGAGTGCTACCTTGAGCAAGATACACTGCAATTGCCGCGTGCCAATGTGCAAGTGGGATGACGACATGCAAAACTGCGCCGCCGACGATGAGCAACGTTGGTGCAAGTAGGAAGAGCACCTGGGGGTAAAACATCTTGGCCCCGAGCTTGGTCAAGTCGTGGACAACCCACGGAAAGAGGTGCAAAATCTGTTCGCGGTTGAAATTCGAGCGCTTTTCCACGACAATCGCTTCTCCACCGAGAAGCGCGACTTCGATCGCAGTCCGCAAGCCGACCGGACCGCCTCCGACGATCACGACTTGCTACAGCCATCGCGCTTGAAACCACACTTGTCACAACGTCCAAGTGACAAAAACGTACCCGAGACCTTGCCGCCGCTTCGGCATACAATCGGCTCTCGCTTCGCTTCCGGTCCAGGATTTCAAAGACGCGCAGTTGGCGGAACGAGAGCACCGGTTGCAGATGGCGCTATGTTGATCCGTCAAGTCCAACGTGCTCTCACCGAGTGGCAGCAGCCGCACCTTCAAATGCGAATAAACCAAATTGGGGCGAACGGTTGACCGGTTTACGTTGAATGTCTTCCATGCACCGAGGATTTCCGGCATGTTCTAGCACGATTCCATGGGACAACGAAAACATCGTGCAGATCGCTGCAAGCGTACTTGAGCCGATTCAAACTGCGAGAACGCGTCGATGGCAAGGGTCGGGGGCATTTGTGGCCACGCGTCGACAAAACTCTCTTCATCTAGCGTCTGCGGAATCGAAAGGTACTTGCCATCCAACGATGTGGCACCACCATCAGACACTACGGAGACCAACGCTTTGTCTGGTTTCCGCGGCTTCTTGTAGCCCTTGACGTCGAATATCGGTGCATTCAAGTCGTCGTCGTTCAAGTCGTTTTGCCCAGCAATCGATTGTTTTGTGCTTGCTATGCGTCGGAGGTACGGGGCTTTTGGCGACAGCGACGATTCCAACGTCGAATAGTCTACCAAAACCCCGTGAATGCCTCACAAATCGATAGGCATCGCGCACCTGATAGCCCCGAGAGCACTTCGAAGCAACTGTTCAGGTCGTTCGCGCACGCCTCGAACATTTGGTCGATGGTGTCGGCCACGATATCGGGAAACAAATCGGCTAGAACTTGTTTGGGGTTGTCCGGGAGGGTGGGATACACATGTAGCAGCACCGTCTTTCGGAACGCTCGAATCTTCATCGCTTGCTCGACCTGGAGGACGAATCGTGTGACCACGAAGACTTGAATGGCTTGAATTCGCCTACGTGGTAGATCGACACAAAGTTGTACGTTTTGTCGTTGTCGGCCACAGTTGACAGCGACGACTTGTCAAACGATTTGACCGCCGCCCCCAAGAACTGTGGAATGGGCCGGACCGCCATCATGGCTTTAGCTTTCGCCAAGGCGGTCAGCACCTCACGGGCGTTGGCGGCATCCGTGGCGGAGTACATGGCACACGACCGCTTTATCGCGTCGACACATTGGGCAATTTCGTGCTTTATCGTGTGGATGTCGTCGCCTGACTCGATGAACACGTCGGTCGTGACCATGTCGCTCTTGAAATTCCCGGACGTCCTGCACTCGACGACTTTGGTGGCCGCGCCGTCGGCGTACGCAGGGACGGAGTATTCGGTGCATGACGTCGCTACGGAGACGTCAAGAGATCGGCATGATGTTGCATGGATACCAACCAGCTACGAAAAATACCTGGTGGTTGTGAATCCTCCGATGGAATGCCGTGCGACTGAACGATCATGGCCGATGTCGATTCTGCGCGAGGCCAGCTCTCGTCGGAAACGCGAATCGCCGCGGATGGCTGACCAAAGAGATCCATACCAGGGTCAAACTCAACATTGTCGGGAGCGGTGGTGTCGCTGAGCGCATGGTCATCTTGGGGCATTGTTTTGGGCGACTCGAACGGCTCCTCGTTGGAGGACTGTCCATGATGCTCAGTGTTTGGCAATGAATCCAGTGGTCGGGCGGACGCTATTGAATCCTGTGCAATTGGGCGAATTTTCTCTGCATTTGACGGCACTTGCTTCAAGAACTCGTCCAGTTTTGAAGATGTTCGTCGACGAATTGGTTGAAACGATGGCAGTGGTTCAGCCTGAGGAACACTTGGAGCCATCGTGGTAGCCTGTGAGGTCGGTCGAAAAACAACGTTTTGCAAAGATGGTTGGTGAGCGTCCGGTCCAAGGTGCGACCTTGACGACGGCTGTGACTTTGAATTCACGCTGCCGTTGTTTGCTTTCTTTTCAACTGGGGCAGGCTGCGGAGGAGTTGCTGACCGCTTCGTCGTCATGACGGATGGAGTGGATGGGGATACAACGTCAACATCTTGTCCGAGGCCTTTAAAAGTCCTCCAGATCCCCGTCCAACTAAATGGGTCGCTCGTGGCAGGTTCCTCCGCTACCAAATGTGGCATACCCTACCGTGCCACGATGACGCTTTCAAGTTGAGATTAGAACGTACCGCAAGGAACTCTGTTAAAGGCACATATCCATCGCCAAATTTGTCCATTTCAGCAATTAATTGCCACGCCGTCATGAGTGGAAGGCCGCGAACAGCTTTGGAAAGATCGTCGACACACAAGTTCCCATCGCGGTTTCCTACAACCACGAATCACACTCGGAGTGGCCACGGACGAGGCCGCTAGCTCAAACATACTGTCCAAGTGCTCGAAAAGGGAACGGAGCGCCGCCTCCATTCGTCCTTAGCGCTAGCAATGGGATGCTGCGAGTGGGGTCGGGCAGTTGGTGGCAGTTGCTTTTGTACTGTAGCCAGCTTTCGCCAACATTCAACACTGGAGGAGTGTATGCGATCATCGTTCAAAAAGAACTGTTTAAAACTCATTATAAAACTCAAAGAATCTCACAGAAGACGCTACACGCATTTAAAACACAATTTTTAAAGACACCCACCTCTTGACAACTTTCTTGCACCGCCTCCCAACCATGCGCGCGCCGCTGCCACGAGCTGGGCTCCAGCCTCTGTGGCAAGCCATTGGGTCGTGGACGCGATGTAGCTGCCGTCCAGTGTCCACAGAGTCGATACGCTCCACGAAGGTGCTGTTGTCTGACTTTGCGGACAAGCACCAGTCTGCATCTTCCACCGTGTCATTGATCCAACAAGTACTGACAACTCCACAACATGCTGCAGACCTGTCACGGCTGCGCGAGGCAACCAGTCATTCGACATTGTGGGAGGACCCAGTTGAAGCGGCGGGTCTTTTGCAGCAGCTGAGTGTGTTGGAAAAGCGTGATGCAGTGGCGGCGCAACTCTTGCAAACCCTCAATGACACCAAGGAGCTGTTTGGTATGCCGCCACCCACTCACCAGTCTGCAATAGTCATTCAGCTGACGTATAGACATGGCCATGGACGAGAACGATGTGAATCTTCTCCGCGATTGCGTTGAGACAGTGGGTGCGGCCGACGTCACAGCCAAAGCATTGCGCGCCGAGCTGCTACTGTCCGAGCCCACTGACTCGTCGTCGTGTTTCCTCGAGATTCACGCTGGAGCTGGTACATTGTCACTTGTACGAGTCTTTCTCACCCGGTGGTTTGCATCCTGGGCAGGCGGCACCGAGAGCGGCGACTGGGTTGAAATGCTCTTGCGGATGTACTCGAGATGGACAGAATCGCATCCAGATGGGTATCGAGGTTTGCATGACGTCCGAATGGAGCCGTGCGACTCATGGAACGCTGTAGTGGAGGTCGTGCATGCAGTGCTGGGCGAAGAAGCGGGCTACCGGTCGGTGTGTTTGCGCATTGAAGGTATCACTCGTGGCAGCGCCTCCAACGCTCGGTCTTCACAGTCTGCACTCAGGAAGTTACGCATACGGGTGGCTCAAGACCGAAGGGGGCGTCCACCGTCTCGTTCGCATTTCTCCGTTCGACAACCAAGTCCGTTTACCCGGTCGAATCGCCGCCACATTCACGTTTTCTTTGTGGACCAGTCCCGCCGGCACACGTCGTTTGCCCAAGTGCGGGTATTTCCACTGGCCGTTCACGGTGAGAATTGGATCGATCGAGTCGGGTGTTCGTTGTGCTGATGCTGTCGAAGGCGGCGCGAAAGCGACTGCTGCCGCGATGGAAATATTTGCCAAGGACTTGCGCATTGACACATATCGAGCGTCCGGTCCAGGTGGACAGGTCTGTGCGATTGCGAGGAACGGCGTGGTGAGTGACACGTTGGTTGTAGCACGTGAACAAGACTGAAAGCGCGATCCGCATTACGCACTTGCCAACCAACATCGTTGTGCAATGCCAGTCCGATCGATCGCAGCACCGCAACAAAGACACTGCGATGGACATGCTCCGTGCGCGACTTCTTCAGCTGGAGCTGCTGAAAGAGTTGGTTTTCTTGACCTTGGCGTTGTTGAAGGCTGACATGCGAGTGCAGGGACGAAGAGAAGAAGAAATACACACAGGGCTTGGGTGATAATACGTGGGGGAGCCAGGTGCACGTGCCCCGACGGACTCGATAGAGAAGTACTCACGATGGCCATGCGTAGATTCGGTCGTACGTATTGCATCCTTACAAGGTATGTTGATGGTTGGTTCAGCTAAGCATTCATGCGACTTCGACCTAGATGGTCAAGGACCACCGAACGAACATGTCAACCTCCGACGCCAAAGGCGTTCTCGATGGTGACATATCTCCGTAAGCGCCGTTGCGAAATGCTCGTCACTACCATCGGCCTCAACAGCTACGTCTTGTTGTAGATTCATCCAAGAAGTGCTCCTCGCCACAGCATCGATTAAACCTCCAACCTAATCCCATCTACGTCGCCTACCTGCATTCAACCTACACGCAGAACATCTCGTCCTGCTCTGCAGTGCACACGGACTCTACACGGACGTAGCGCCATGTTGTGCCTGCCTCGCACCCGATCTCGTTTTGCAGATGCGGTTTCCAAATGGCCACATTCGATTGGCTAAAATTCAAAGATTCGTTGTTGGGGATTGTGGGACAAAAACCGAGGCTTGATGCAGCATGGTCCCAACTTTTCGTCATTGGGGGCGCTGGCAGCGCCGCGGCTCGACCTGTGGTGGCTATACCTGGCACTTGCAGTAGCCGTGGGCTTCATGTACGACCCGCTCGCGCTTCGGTTGCCTCTGCACTCGTGGAGTCTCGTTGGTGACTTCTGGTGGCTGAACATGCCGTTCTTGGCGATTGCAGGGCTTGTGTGCATCTATGCGACCGTTCGTCGGCTTGTCTACTTCTTTAGCAAGCCTTCGTTTCGTGAAGGGCCTTACATCCTTGGGCGACATCAATGGCGCGCTAGCACCCGCGCAGGGTACAACAACTCGATGCTTCACGACCTTGACGTCTCACACCCAGTCTGTGGTAGACCATTGTGGTGCAATGTATGCGAGTCGCTCGTAATTGGTATCCGCAGCTACGTGGTCAATTGCGACATTTGCGGCATCACCGCCCATGGTCCATGCGCTCTGCGTCACATGCGAGCCAATTCCAAGCAAAAGTGCGCATGCAAATTGGCTGCGATTCCATCGACTTGCGACAAGAACACGCTGAAAGCGTATCGCGAGCATGTGTGGGTCAAAGGCAACACCGATCCGCTGGACACGTGTCATCTTTGCGGCTTGTTCTGTGGCAACATCCTCGCGCTTTCGGCCATGCAGTGCATCTGGTGCCACCGTCGCGTGCACGAATCGTGCTTTGAATCGAGCGGCGTCGGGAATGCCGTGTGCGACTACGGTCCTCATCGACAGCTCGTGCTTCCTCCGACGTCCATTCGAGTCAACAGCGACCCCGAGCCCCCTACAAATGCCCTCTCCACCGTCAAGAACGCCGTCAAGAACATGAAAATGTCGTCGCTACGGAAACAATCCAACTCTACCATGCTCATCACCGAGTAATGGCCACACCGTTGGTCGCCCATGCTCGCTTCTGTCACGATGCTGATGCGCGTAGGGACGGATCGACGCAGACCATGGCGATACAGCGCAGCAAGACTCTTCAACAAATCCTTCCGCCGTACGTCAGCTAGTCTTGACAAGTCGTCGCCATGACCAAACGCAGGATCACGGAAGGAATCGGCTGTTTGCTGCCGTACACAATCGAGCCCCCTCCAGACGCGACGCCGCTCTTGGGTGCATGATGCCGTCCACGTCTAGTTCCTGACCCTGTGTGTTGTGTGACTAGTTTTTATCAACAGCCGAAGCGGGGGCCAAATGGGAGTGTACGTGCTCCAGCAACTGCGAAGGTGGCTTAACCCACTGCAAGTACGGCAGCCGTGACCAACGGGGTGGTGCAGGCTCACCGGGATGCATTGTCTAGATCTACGACCTGTCGCTACAGGGCCCGGAAGCCGCCTTGATTCAGTTTTGCAATGTACCTGGGCTACGAATTCTCGTGTGCGGAGGCGATGGGTCCGTTGGCTGGGTATGTTCAACTGATGTGTTGAATGTCCGCCCAGCCGTGTGTAGGTGTTGGGCGCTATCGACAATCTGGCCAAGGTGCACTTCCAGAGGCAACCACCAGTGGGCATTTTGCCGCTCGGCACCGGCAACGACTTGGCCCGCGTACTGGGGTGGGGCAGCGGGTACTCGGACCAGCCGATCAGTGGTGCGTGTTGCTAGGACTGCCTTGGTCTCGTTGAATTGTCTCGGAGCCATCCAATCTGGCAGATATTTTGTTTGAGCTCGAAAACGCGCACATCGCCATGCTCGATCGATGGCGGGTGGACCTGAATGGAACGAAGCGATCTACCATGAATAACTACATCGGTACTATCTTCGGGTTTGGATTGAACTGCACGGATCGCAGGGATCGGCGTCGACGCCCAAGTGGCACTGGAATTCCATGAAAAGCGCGAGCGGTCGCCGTCGCTGTTTATGAACCAATTCATTAACAAGCTGTGGTACAGTCGGGTGAGTGGGTTGCTGCGTCGAGAGCGATTCGGTTCATGGAGAGGGACACTAGTACGGCGCCAAGAACTTTTTGACCCGAACGTGTGGCAACCTCGAGACCAAGATTGAATTGGTCTGCGACAGCCAATTGCTCGACCTGCCTTCTGGAATTGAAGGCGTGATCATCACAAACATCACGAGCTTCGTACGTTGACGGCTCCTTGGCTGCCAGAATCGGAGGGCTCAATTGTCGACCTAGGCCGGGGGCTCGGTCTTGTGGCATGAAGACTCGAGCGACGAATATACACACGTTCCGTCGGTGAGTCGACGGTGCCTGGACACGCCAACTTCTTGACCCACGTGTGGACTCTAGAACGTTGCGAGCAAACCAACGTTGGGCCCGGCGTCGATGCACGACGGATTGCTCGACATCGTGGCTGTGTATGGCACTCTGCACCTCGGGCAACTCCAAGTACGTTGATCGAACAAATGTCCGTGGGTTGTTTTTGTGCGCTGGCTGAAGCGGCGACGGGTCCAGGTGGGGCTGTCCAAGGCATTACGACTGTGCCAAGCTAGGCAAGTTCAAGTGCGACTGAAGGAGCGCTTGCCGGTGCAAATTGACGGCGAGCCCTGGATGCAAGACCCGTGTGAGGTGGACATTTCGTTTCACCACCAGGTGCGTACCCGACGAATGAAGGCATTGCGTCGTGATTGAGAAGATGCAGGCGTTTATGATGGCCAAGACGACCCATGAGCGAGACACAGTGACCCGTCAAGTGGGCGAGGTGAGGTGGATGAACAAGGAAGCTACTCGACGATGACCAAACTGGCCGCAATAGGTTTTGGATTGGGCCGGGAACGCCAGCATCATCTCGTGGGAGCAGCGCGACGTCCTCTTGGCAGAAATCACGCGAAGAGTACACGCCAAGAACCAGCAGCAAAGTGCTGTCGTTCGGCAAAATTTCTCCAAATAGAACTTCAGCCAAGGTCATCCTAGTGGGAATGTGCTCTCGCTCGAGCTTGATGTGGGGTTGACGCCTGCTCTGGCAAAAAGGATCAAAGTTGGGGAGTTTGAGTGTGGGTCTGCCTTCATTGAGCTGTGGAACTTTCACACGTAGCAAGTGACCACGAAACATCCGCCCAGCAACTCCCGATTGTGCATGCCGCCGAATGTCTCGCTTTTTCCTCTTGTTGGGAATAGCCGTCGCCCAGCCGAGCCATGATCAAGCTTTTGCTGAAACGTACTGAAGGCAATAACACAGAGGCATCTCCTTTGTCGATATTGCACGCGCCCAAAAAGCACATGTGACATGCCTTCACTGTCTTTCGTGGTCCACATCACATGGGGCCGGTCGCGTTGGAATATTTGCTGGTAGCTCGACGAGTGTTGTCGAAGGGAGCAATTTCTTTTATGTGAAGATCTACTCGATTGTCCCTGTCGCGTCGAGAGTTCCACGAATGAATTGGCCAGGACGGCAGGGCAATAAGTACTACCCTGGCCAACGACGCACGAATCAAATGAGCGCAGTTGTTGGAAACGCCGCTCGTGCGTAGTTCATCAACATTGCCAAGCAAAAACCTCGAGCTGCCGACTACTACACGGGTGATCGCCCTGGGAGGGCGACCGTACACTGAGTTTATGGGCAGCACCGACCTGTACGAGCTGCATACGGGCTTGCCGACTACGTGAAAGCCATTGCACGCTCTGGCACCAAGATCGAATTGATCTTGGTCGATGGCCGACCTCGCAACTTGAATGGCATCGCAGACGTCGCCCACGCCGTAATGTACGCGAGTTTGCCATATGAGCTAGGCGGTGATCTTCCGGTCTCCTCATTAGTAAGTCGAACCCATGTGGAAAGATGCCGTATACCCCAAGGCAACAGATCAAGTCAACATGGCTACACCAGTGCCTGGACGCATACCAACCTCAGAACGGTGGCGCCGTGCACTTGTGGGACTGTAGCGCCACCAACGTCAACCAGTTGTGGACGTACGACGCGTCGACAAAGCAACTTCGCCACCAGACCCACACGGAGTCAATGCCATGAACGAAGCAAAACACACAGAGAGGAAAATCGAGATTTGGAATTAAGCCCCGAGGATAAACACTTGGTTCTTGATGTCTGCGTGGTTTGCAGGCAAGCACGACCACAGATGCGGCGACTCGCCTGTGGGGGTAGCAATGTCCAAGCAGTACCCTGTGTGGGTCTGGTGGCGAAGTTGCTTCGTCGACGCGTCGTACGTCCACAACTGGTTGACGTTGGTGGCGCTACAGTCCCACAAGTGCACGGCGCCACCGTTCTGTGCTTGGTATGCGTCCAGGCACTTGTTGGTCGCTCCCATCGCCCGAAGCAGTTGCGCATCCCATCGCCACAGTTGCGACGCACTCGCGACCACGAGTGGCTGGAACGCAATCGACGTGATGCCCACTGTCGACAGCACGCGGTTGAAGGCAGGGCTGGTCACGACATAGTTGAGGGACGGCGTCGTGAGTGTGATCAGTTGGTTTTTCAAGTCCGGGTGCGATGAAGGCAGGCATTGCCACATGTGCGGGGCCGTCCCGGTCGTCGCTCCCACATCCAAGCAGTACCCGACATGGGTGCGGTGTCGGAGTTGCTTGGTTGCAGCGTCATAGTTCCAGTACTGGTTCACGTTGGACGCACTGCAGTCCCAGGTGTGCACGCCCCCGCCATTCATGGGCTGCCACGCGTCCATACACCGACCCGTGCCTCGGTTGATGATCTGGTAGGTGGAGCTGTCGAAAGACCACTCCTGGCTCGTTGCGTTGGTCGCCTCCGTCACAAACGCGACCGAGTTGGACGCTGGGTTCGTGAACACAAAGTTATACGCATCCAGACGCAGCTTGTAGTACGTCGCAGGAGGTGGCGTCGTTGGGGGCGCACCGTTCCACGTGAACGTTTTGCACAACGGACCGAGCGAGGCGGCGCTGCAAGGGGTGTCGGCCTTGAGCGACACGTAGTACGTCCCGCTTGCAGCTTCCTTTCGCAGCCCTTGACCGATTTCATTCACGTACTGGCCAAAGTCATCTGGCGACAGCGTCAAGCTGACGTCGGTCGATTGGCCCGCAACCAAGTCGACCTTGGTGTACTTTTTGAGCAGTCTTGTTTCGGGGCCGCCGGGGGCCGACACAAACAGGAGCACCGCCTCCTTGCCGTTCACTCGTCCCGTGTTGGCCACCGTCACCGTCACGACTGTTTGGCTCACGGTCGGCGACAGAGTTGTGGCCGACAGTCGGACGTTGGAGTATGCAAACGTGGTGTAGCTCAGTCCGTGGCCAAAGTGCCATTCCACGGGGCAGCTCGTCGTCATGCCGTTCACGACGCAGTTGTCGCCGACGCGGCTGTAGTAAGGTGTGGCCATGTTGACTGGATCGGTTGTCTTGGGGTACGTCAACGGCATCTTTCCACTTGGGTTGGTAAAGCCGAACAACATTTCCGAGATCGCTTCGCCGCCCATTTCACAAGGCAAACCCGCGTACATTACGGCGTGGGCGACGTCTGCGATGCCATTCAAGTTTCGAGGTCGGCCTTCGACCAAGATCAAGATGATCTTGGTGCCAGTGCTTGCAATGGCTTTCACGTAGTCGGTCAAGCCCGTGGGCAGCTCGTACGGGTCAGTGTTGCCCATAAACTCAGCGTACGTTCGCTCTCCCAGGGCGATCACCGTGTAGTCGGCAGCTTGAGCTTTTTGCTTGGCCAGATTGATATCCCACCAAGTGCCGTCCGTGTTGACGCCTTGGTAAAAGGCCGCCCGCGATGGATCGTTGACAACGTCGGACATGGCGCCTTTGATCGTGCGCCAGTGGTTGGGAAACATGGAGCTTCCTTGCTGGCCTTGCCATGTCAGGGACCATCCGCCGCAAAGCAGCCCAATGTCATCAATCGACGGTCCCGTAAAGAAGAACTTTTTGGACTTGTCCAGAGGCAAAATGTTGTTGGAGTTCTTGACCAAAACCAGCGACTCCTTGGCAATATCCCATGCCGCCGCACGACTCGGCCAGTCGCCCACTTGGTCGACGACGTCGGCCCCCGGAACAGGAACGTTGAACAAGTTGAGCTTGAGCTTCAATTTGACGAGGCGTCTCGCCGACGTTTTGATGCGATCGAGGGGTATTTTGCCGGACGCGTACAAGGTCTTCATGTACCCGATGAAGCTCGTGTCGTACGGCACCATGCTCATATCGAGGGACGAGTCCGTCATCGCCTTGTACACGGCGTCTTCGCGGTTGGCAGCATAGTGGTGGTAGAAGTCGAGCAGGTAGATTTCTTCCCAGTCGCTTACGAGCACCCCGTCGAATTTCAAGTCGTTTCGGAGCAAAGCGATCGAGTTCTTGCGATTTGCAGCCATGGGAATTCCGTCCAGTGCCACGAACGAATCCATGCCGCTCATGACACCGGCATCAATGGCTGCTTTGAAAGGCGGCATGAACAGGTTGAGCAGTTCGTGGTTGGTCAGAGACACCGGATCACGGTCCTTCCCACTCGAGCTGGCCGAATACCCAATGAAGTGCTTGAAGCATGCCGCGACACCCTGGCTCTGAATGCCTTCAATCATTGCTTTCCCCATGTCCGACACAACCTTCGGGTCTTCGCCGAACGTCTCCATAATGCGAGGCCATCCCTTGTGTCGCGCAGGTTCCAAGCATGGACCGAAGATCCAGTTGACGCCTGCAGCTTTCGTGTCGCGGCCTGTGAATTGACCCATTCGCCGAGCCAACTCGGGGTCGAACGTTGCGCCAGCGTTGATCTGATGGGGGAAGAGGACAGCGCCTTTGACGTAGTTGGCTCCGTGGAGAGAATCCAAGCCATAGACGATCGGGGTCCCGCCCGTGCGAATGTGTATGTCCTGGAGCTTTGACACGGCTTGCCGCCATTCCTGCACGTTCCACCCGTAGTTGTCCCCGAGGGGCGACTGGAATGGTGAGTTCAAGTACGACCCAACACCTTGGTTCGCCAGCTCCTGGACTTTGGTGATGTCGAGTGTCTTGCCGCCGTTTTGAGTCATTGCGACGAAATCAATCGTGATTTGCGTCATTTGTCCGAGCAACTGGTCCAGGCTCATGCCGTCCACAATGGCACGGGCTTGCGCGTCCAGGTCTTGGGCGACGCACGTGGCGGCACACACGAACGCTGTCAGCGCCGTTGTCGGTGCCATGACTCGCATTGTTTGTCCCAGAAGGAAGCAGGCGTGAAATGGCCGTGTCGGCCTCGACAGCCATTACCCCCCAAATTTCGTTTCAGTCAAGTTCACGGAAATCGTTTCCCCACGACTGGATCTCTCTCTCTGGTGATGGTGTTCGTGGTGTCATCAATTTATCGATTATATATTCAATATAATTTGTATACCAAAACCAATCTCATCCTGTGTAGTTGTAGGATCAATCTCTTTGTGTGTCCTCAAACACGTCCTGTGCCCCCTCAGCTCGGCCTCGTTTGCAATGGCTCGTGTACCCGCAAAGTGTAGGACTATTTTGCGCCAAATTGGCCCCCGAACGACCGAAAGACGACCGCCACCAACGCCCGCGACCAACCTTGTGAGATATTGAGATGTACTAGAATCGGTTTTCTCGCTCTCGTGGGGTAAATGCACTTGTGGAACGAAGTGTACATGAAACAATCCCGTTATTGCGTACGCAGATAAGTCAGGGAACCCCCCTCGTGACGTCAAATCCACCATTCGGGCGCTGTCACTTGAGCCAGAACGCCGCAGCGTTCCGACATCCCAAGAGAGCCAGAATGTGCCGATGCTGTTGATGTGCTCTCGGAACTGGTACTGAACTGTCCACTTTGTAAGCCCCGCACGCTCCAGGGCCCTCCCCACCATATCCGCTATGAACAGCACGATGTGTCCTCTGCGCAAGCCACAGTTTCAATGCAAACCCAACGTAGTGTGGAGGTCGTATTTTCAACATTAGAATACGAATGATATGAAAAATGATCGTGGCAATGTTTGTTTTGGTAGCTGCGGCTCAGCAAAGAGGAATCGAACACAGCCTCACAATGCAATGAACACTGTACAAAGGCCGCAATGGTGCACCAAATTCAAGCCACCAGCGTGATCGCACACTTTGTACCACCGTGCAAGCGACAGAGGCCGCGAGAGCGAGCGGGGTTGTCGCACCCATGAAACGAACTGCGAGGTCCATGACTGTGGCATTGCCCAGCGGACATTTTCCTACTCGAGTAAACTCTAAGGGGCAAACAGGAAATTTACAGCACATTGCGTCTCGTACTGTAATGTGGGGTGCAACGTCCAGTACTGGTAATCAATGACTGTACAAAGAAAGGTCAACTAAAGCCACACCTCCACCCTCACCGCGCTGTACATATTCTTATTCTCGCACGTCAACATGGTCGTGAAGTCGCGCTGGGGGTCAAGATGGGAGTTAATTCCACTCAGAAGGCGGAACTCGCTCTGGCGTACTGTACAGCATAAAAAAATTCGATTCACATATTAATATAACGTATGTACATACCATACCATGTACATGTATTGTGAAATTAGATGAGCCGGTTGCCCAGCATTCCAACAAAATGTATAATTCTGATTGACAAACGAGAAAAATGTCCTAATCTTCTCAAAATTCGAGAACTTGAAAATAGATCACAATTTTTTGTCAGGTGATTTTGTACTTGAAAATAGATCATTACTCGTATTGTTTTTGACAGGTGATGATAATCGATAC